TTAAATTTATTTTGTTTGAAAATATGTATTTTCATAATTCAGATTATTAAAAACTATATAAGTAATTTACTAGCATCTCAGACCTATTAGTCATCAAAGATAATAGCATAAGAGATAAGACTCGAACAATGTAGAGAATATAATTCAGATACACATGAATAACAAAGCTACATAAAATCATTCATTATTTCATTGAACAAAATCTAAAATTCATAATGTAGAATCTGAAGATATATATATTCATCTCCTATTAATCAAAGGGAAAAGAACAACACACTTATACGATGCATTAATGTGTTTGACATAGATATACCAAGCAAATTTAAGCATCCATATTTTAGAATAGCATAAGATTCCATATGGCCCCTTGACCAAGTTATTTGAATGGAATGAAAACAATCATCCTGAACTAAAGATAGTTCAGACCAAAAAATGAATTGTTGATCTGTGCATTTACACTTAAGGAGGATGATATAAAGGACCAAGTTTTACAATGCTCCCAGCTCAACCATTTGATGCATCCAATTTCAGCTTGATCATACCATCACTCAAAAGGTTGCCATATTAATTATTCTTTTCTTCATGACTTTTATCCACTCAAAACTTATAATCATGATACTTTAACCTTCAGTTCCATGATGCTATCAAAATATTCATTCTTACTAAAGGTCTCATAAATATTTGTAAGCTTGATAAGTTCTTAGTTTTTGAATTTTTCATCCTTTAGTCTGTTCACTCTAATAGCATTGTTACTTGTCCCATATCTCATACTTAAAGAGACATGATTATATATTTTTTTCATTGAGAGCCTATTAATAGACTTTACAATGTCATTTATGTTTGTATTACATGCAGCAAAGGGAATCCAGAAATTATATGGAATTGATAATTGGGCCAGAGAAAGCTGGCTTTTAATTAATTTCTTTGATCCTCAATAATTCAAAATGGAAAATACTTTTAATCGGCTTAGCTCAGTGCATAATAACCCTAACCTGTGATAACTCCTCTTTGTCACTGTCGAGCATTTTCTTCTGTGCAAGCAAATCTTCTTCCTTCTCCTGTACTCAATGCAAAATCAATGTGATAAGCTTTGATGCTAAATTAAACTATAGGCAAAATAAGATCACAATTCATTACCTTCAAGGCTTGATGGCGATCACCTAGTGTAGGCAACCCATCCAAAATTTTTCGTACTATGTAGTCCTGAGATCTGGCTTGCTTGAAGAATGGTTGTTTCAACAGCTTATGTGCAGTAGGTCTTTTTGAAGGATCCTTCACCATGCACATAGCAATCATGTCCCTAAAAGACTAGTAGCAGAAGTAGAGCTTGAGAATGAGATGCTCATCCGCATAAGAGACTACAATTAAGTATAACACAAAAATACCTTTGAGAATTTTTTGTCACTTTCATAATCAAGGCCTGGTGGAGCATTCTGCAAGTTCATCAGCAAGGCCTGCCAATAATTTGATTCAACAACTCAAGAAAAATAGAAATTTTGACATATGACAGCTTCCAAGATGTCTCAAAATTATCTACATAATTTGCGACCAATATGAAAAGAAAAAATCTTTAGCAAATTGTGATACGTTCACATGTTGTTTGGCATCAAAATACAGATAAAATATAAGACAGTATGCTTGATGCATTGGGGGAAAATATGGTGCCACTGACACAAAATTATTGATAAATGATGCACAATTCCAAATTGATGAAATACATACCTTAATTGGAGGATATTTTGAAAAAGGAGCATGACCATGAGCAAGTTCCAAAGCAGTAATTCCAAAAGACCATATATCAGCCCTGCCGATAATTTGTAATAAGTGCTTGCACTCAAAATAACAAATTAATGATATTACCAGACATAGAGAAGTTGGTAGACCAACTTGAAATCATAACCATGCAGTTGCTCCATCACCTCAGGGGCCATCCTATTTAAATAAAAACATTATATTTCATTTAAAGGATATTATATCATAATCATACAGAAATATCTGAACAAAAGAGCATTTGCACCAGCAAGGTGTCCCCACAAATGTATTCCTTGATCTTTGCCTGTTACCGGAATCGAAAAGGCAAGCTGAAACACCAAAATCTCCAAGTTTAATGCCACCTCGTGCATCAACTAGAATATTCCCAGCCTAAAATCATGAGTGAACAATATTTCACAGGAAGTTATTTGAACTAAGACAGCACATGAGCACCTATGATTAATGTGCAACTGTGCAAGTGCTTTTCTCAGGGTATAAGTCACTAAAGTTCTACTATAACAAAACAATTCAAATCTTCTAAAAAAATAATAAAATACATCCTTAAAAACTAGGTTTGTGGATGGTACTTAAATCCATTTTTTCTAAGATTAAGTGACTTGGTTATCTGGTAAAATAGGTTATGAAGTTACATGACCATTGATAATGTAATTTTTATCAAGTCTAATAGTGTGCTTTATCAGCATATATTCATATGTCTATTTTACCAGCTAGTGTTGTATATTGATCTTTCTTATCATTTATTTTGGAGAGCTGTAAATCATTAGTGTATTGAATCTAATACCAAGTAAATATGCAAACACCAAACATATACAACATAACATGCCATTTGTATAAACCAAAACTGGACCTGATTTTGATCAGTATATCGTGTGCAGTTCATACACCGTTAAGGCATCAACAAACACATAATGATTACACCATCACAAGTGAACAATATATCCTCTCCATCTCCTCTCCTAAGTTGATGCTTCACATGCATAAGATGAATGGGCATCTTTGCATGCCCTTAGTAAATTAAACATACTAGCATGAAATTTCATTCTGAAGTTTCAACTGAAAACAATATACTGAACAAGATCAGTTACATAATAATGTGAAGATTGTATTGAAGAACAACTTGCACATTAGCTTTGTTAACAGATGAAAACACATAACAAAGAAAAATTATGAGGGCCGACCTTGGCAAGGTAGAAAAATGACGATATGAAACTGATAGAAATGATGTTGCCATAGGTATGTAAACAGAAAGGATAAAGTTGATTTCCTTAGAAAAAAGATAAACAACCCTACAGTGAAAAAGAAGATTTTATTTGTTAGATTAACCTCTTTTTTTATCTTGATGACTCTCGCTACTACATATGATATATCATCATACAATTGCCAAGAGTCAATATTAAGATTCATGACAAAATAACTATAATGACAACCACTTTGAAAAGTCTCCATCACGTAAAGATGAGTCAACTTAACCAAACCTTTACATCACGGTGAATGTGCCCTTGGTGATGAAGATATTCCAATCCCTTCAGTACTTCACGTAACACTGTTGCAATTACAGATTCTTTAAAGCCATTGGGATAAGCAGACTTCATTATGTGAAGGCAAGACCCTTCCTCCATGTAAGGCATGACAACCCATAAATTGTGATCATTCACAAAGGAGCAGTGTGCCTTGAGAACATTAGGATGGTCTATCAAGATCATAGTTTGTGCCTCCCGACAGATGTTGTTCTGGAAAGAACATACAGAAAAAAAATCATTTACAAAGCCTCCAGACAGATGATGTGCTCGAAAGAGCATACAGAAAAAAATCATTTACAACTTTCAAGACAATGGATGAACTAGATGTACAGAGTTACTTATAGATATTTGTATTTTTTTCTAAAGAACACAGCCGTGTATAAATAATATAATTCTGTGGAGATTGCCAGTAGTTAGAAAATCAGGTAAACGCAATTAAGACACCTATTTTCTGCATTATACCCTGATGAACTAGAATGAAACACAAAGTACACAGTAATAGATATAGCCAAAAGAAACATGCTTTGCTTAAGTTGTCATGCTGTGTCATCTGCCACATGAAAAAAAGAAAAAGAAAACTAACAATAGCAGTCACCATAAATTTTAGTGACAACTATTCTTATAAAAAAAGAAATGGATACTGCAAGCAAGAAGTTGACACAATATGATGGTCATTGTGACACGAGGAACTTTTAAGTTTATAAACTTGTGTTAGATACATAGAACTGCTTGTTCTAAACATGTTATCATTAATGACCTTAGACATTATTTCCTAACGGTTGTATTCTTCTATCGGAGACCGTACACTATAAGGAACAAATAAATCCCAAGAAATATGCACAAGTTTAAGGTTAAATTTTGTGCAAAACAATCCTCCCTAGGCAAAATGATTCGTTTGTCAAATAGTCAATCTAAAATATACGGAATTAAGTGAAAAATTGAAATTTTTATTTGAATCAAAATGGCATACCAATTCTCAGTGCACCTGGTTCCTCTCATCGAATAAAAAGAATATAGAAGAAAAAGATGAAATTTAGCTAATGACGAACGCACCAGATCGCTGTTATTCCTCTCGAAATCGACGACCTTGATGGCGACGACCTCGTCAAGGGGAATGCAAAGCGCCCGGTAGACCGAAGCGCTGACCCCCTGCCCCACCGGCTCGCGCAGTTGGTAATCCTCAGCGCGGATCGGATACTTCTTCCTCTCCATCGCTCTCTTCGCAGCGGGAACCGCTGCGACATCAATCCCTAGAAACCGATCCAGCCTGAGATCAGAAGCAACACCAAAGAATCCGAAAGTGAGGCGCGAGAAAGAACGAGAAAATTGGGGAATGACGCCTTGTTCGATCGGATCGGGGATAGGGAATCGCTAATTGGGAGGAGGAGAGTGCTTGTCGAAGAGGGCTTTCTCGTGATGCAGAGAAGCTACCGCGAGATTTAGGGGGAGAGAGAGATTTCGTAACCACAGAGTGCGCGCGCCACGGGAGCAGCAGACGAGCACGTGACCTAACAGTTCTGCACGTGACCGAACACTGATCATTCTTGTTCGTCACCCGTGAAGAATGCAGGAGATCGATCACAGCCGTCCGTGCCATTTCATCTTGGCCCTAGCTTTTCAAATGGACGGTGATTGATCAATTTGTTTAACGAAAAAAATATTTTCGCACTAATAAATATTAAAATTCTCTCTTTCTTTTCGGATTTAGTCGGGCCAACTCAGTTCGTCCCTCCGACCCGTTAAGACGGACCGATCTTTTCTGCTCCAGTTCTTCTCGAGGGCTTCGCTCTTGCTAATCGGAGGCGGCGTGGGGGAGGAGGAGAGGGAGGCGCGGCAGAATGAAGCCGGTAGTTGGGATCGTGGTGTCGAACAAGATGCAGAAGTCGGTGGTGGTGGCGGTGGACCGGCTCTTCCACCACAAGCTCTACAATCGCTACGTCAAGCGCACCAGCAAGTTCATGGCCCACGACGAGAAAAACCAATGCAACATCGGCGACCGGGTCAGTCATCTCCTCTTACCCCATACATCTCTTGTCCCCCGCTGTTCCCATCGTACTTAGCTTCCCTCTTTTTTGATGTGAAGGTCATCTGTAGGTTCCTTTGTTGATCGGATAGCGTTTGGTAGTTTTCCACTGACGTCTTTTATTGTTTAGTCTTGTTTAGTCCACTGATGTTGGGGTTGTTGCCGGTGAGATTACTGATAGGATTTACCTTCCCTTTATCTTGAGAAAGATTGGACCTTGGAAGCATGCTCTTGATGGTTCAGTCCTTCTAATGTAGGAATGCCTTAATGAGTTGTAAGAATTATGTCTTTATGTCAGTAATTGTCTGTATAATTTCTTAATGTGGAAACATGGATTCTAAGATTTGTGTGAGCAGTAAGTGTACTTGGAGGTTGGAAGCTATTTTTCTATTGAAGAAATTGCCAAAATATTGAAGTTCTAGGTTCACATTATCAGCTGTCTCTCTCCTTTACTGGTTAATCATTTGATGCACTTAATGTTCTTCTTAAGCCTTATGCTTAAGATGACTGCTGGAGGAATCTTTTCTGTTCTCAGTGCAGAGAAATCTGATGAGCATAAACTAGCAACACGTTTGTGACATTGTTTCTAGTGTTTCACTAGATTTTGTGTCAACTATTATGACTTTGCATGGACAGTTAACAAAGATGCTTTTAAGTGTTTCCTAAGATAATGCTGTACATAGATGGACAAAAAAGGGCCATATTGACAGATAAATTCTATCCTCTTATTTATACTTTCTAATAATTTCTTGCAAGCAATAGTATTTATTATCTGATTGAAATTATGAGAATAAACCAAACATTTGAAAGGTTAATCAATGCCAACAATGCAAGTTAATAAGATATTGCTATTTTTATTAATAGAACCAATGCTGCATCCTAATAGTTGATGTACTAGATCAGGTAGATAAGAAATTATCTTCATGTAAGTTCATTTAAGGAAAAGTTCAATGTCAAGCGATGAATTACCAACAAAGGCTTCACGCTGAGGTAGTACAAGTGGCATAGTGTGCTCCATGGTCCTTTCAAGAAAGAGTTTGAAGTGGATGCTGATTGAAAATATATTTTTTACAACAGGAAGGCTAATGCATGGAAATGTAAGCTTTTTGTTTTTTTGTCAATAATATAGACTTGCATGTTTCAAATGCTAGCATTTTTTAAAATGACTCTGATCGTTGGTACATGTTTAAAATAGAACATGTTCGGGATTCTCCTAGAAATATTTCTTGTGATAAGTTAATTATTTTATCTTATATGTTATTGCTTGTGGTAAGTTACTCTTGTATTCTGTTTCTTACTTGCAAATATTCTGGCTAGCCTGAACAACATGCAGCTCCGGTCCTTTTTAAACTGCTGACCAGTTAGAGCAGATTACCTTTGAACAAGGTTACATACATTGATATGGCTGATAGAGTTGCTAGAGGGGCTAGTAAGATTGCCGTCAATGTTGAACGTTAAGAGATGCAAAAACCATACATTGCTAGCTAATTTTATACGTGCTTTCTCAATCTTCAGTCCTTAGTCTGTTTCCTTTCTGAAAATGCTTAATCCATAAAGATATCTGACCTCTGAGTTTTGATCTGTTCTGTTCATTGTATCTATTTGACGAACTTTTTTTTTTTTTTTGCTTTGTTGATCATAACCTGTTCCATGGTGTTGGTCTTGCTTGATACAAAGAAAGTCCACAGAATCTTCACCTCGTTTTGGAGTAATAACAGTTTACTTCTTTTAACTGCAAAATGAACACAATGATTCAATATTCATAGTTATGACATCCATTGATGGAAATGTTTTGCTTACCTCAAACTCTATTGGCTATTATACTAAGACTACTGTCTTTCTTGTAGTGTGAAAACATATGTCCTTGTCGCATGCTCTGAAAAGCTGCATCGCGAAAAAATGGTTCCAGAAATACAATTTAGCTAAAGCTTTTGTTAGAAGCTCTTGGTTCCTTATGCCGTAAAATATTCATGTGTTGTTTCTTTTTTCCCCAGGTTAGGTTGGATTCTTCAAGGCCGCTGAGCAAAAGAAAGCACTGGGTTGTTGCTGAGATTCTACGGAAGGCAAGAATCTACGTTCGACCATCTCTGGCAGCTCAAACACCCGGTGAGCCAGCTGCTGCTTCAACTCCACTTGGATCTCTTCCTTCTTCACGAGGTTAACAGCAAAAGCAGAATCATCTTGTGTAATATAGCAAAGTTTGCAAGCTTATGAGCTTCAATACCATTGATAGTGTTCCTCCATATAATGCATGAACCACCGTTTGTACAACCTACCATCTTGTTCTGCATCCATTGTTTCCTGTGTTGCTCAAAATCTCTACCTGCACAGTCCAGTGTTCCGACATGGTGTTTGTTTGATGTAGGAAAGAAAGAATTGAAAATAAACCTGCTTCAAATCATATGATCCGCATTCGATCAGCTGTAAGTGTCTCTTCACAGAATTTATATTTAACAAAGTTGATGCTGGGTGGTTCTTCAATTGCATAATCAAGAACAGTTTAAGTTTCTATTGCCACCCAAAGTGTTGAGATTTTGGGCTTAATGGGTATAGCCAACTACAGCATCTGTTTCTTGAAGCTGAAACCTGTGATGCTTATGAAGGCTTTGTTCCATATGGATAAATTCTGGTTCAATTGGTACTAAGTCATATCTAACTCAGACCTGCTTTAACGTGGCACTCATTTAACACCATTTAGTCCCTAAAGTTATCTAAACTGTAAAATATGTATGAATTATATCTGTTTTCATTTACACTCTTTTTAGATGAATCAACAGAAATAGTAGTGTTAGAGAAAATATTGTCGATCAATTAACTTGATATAAGAGAGATGCATGGACATAAGTTCAAAGTGGATGATTACAAGTTGTCTTTTTTTTTTCTTTTTTTTTTACTGTCTACATGAATAGGAGTCCAAGAGTCGACCTTCTCGGAGAGTTATTGGTGGGCTCAAAGTGTATAGATCGGCGAAGCACAACCTAACCTCCTTGGAGAGCTTAAGGTGGGCTCAATGTGCGTAGGTCAGTTAAGTTGCACCTAATCTCCTTGAAGAGCTCGATGTGTGTAGGTCGATAAGCTCGATCCAACCTTTTCGGAAAGCCCAAGGTGACCCTAAGGTGCATAGGTTGGTCAAGTCAAACCCAACCTCTTTGAAGACCTCGAGGTGCATACATTGGCCAAATGCGACCCGACCTCCTTGAAGAGCCCAAGGTGGGCTCGAGATTCATAAGTCGACCAAGCCTAATCTGACCTACTTGGAGAGCCCGAGATGCATAGGTCGAGCAAGTCCAATCCGACCTCCCCAAAGAGCTTGAGGTATGTAAGTTGACTATACATTGAACATTCCTCCATTTTTATATGGCACACATGTCAAGATGATTTATAGTTGTATTTTCAAACCTCTCAAAAACATCTTGAGGGGAGCCACAAATAATAGAAGAAATATTATCAAACAATTATCATCGAAGATAACCAAGTTAGCATAGGAAAGATAAGACTTACCTCTTTGGTCTACTCACATGGACATAAGTCCAAGTTATTCTATCCTCTCAAATAATATTCTATCCCCTTTTTATCTAATATAAAAACCTATTTTTGACGTAAGAATCGATATCAGCTAACTAGAATATCAAAATAATTGAACCAGAAAACTCACTCCTAACCTTAATCTTCACATTCCATGAGACCTTCAGCATCACCTCAATAGTACCTCAACTGCATATATAATCGAATCAGACCTCAACATTGAATATTTTCTCCAAACAAATAGCGATAGTAATATGATACAACCGTCTCCGAAGGAAATGCATTAAGACGGCGACCGACTTTGCAGTGATGAGAAAACTAAGACTTGTTCATGTGCAGTTTTCTCTTTGAGAGGACAAAGATTGATGTCTGGATAAGTTGAATTCACCGTCCATTGACAAGGATTGATGTTTGGCACATACATCGGAGATCAGTACAGCACAAAAATACCATATTTTAGTAGGTCACGAAGTCATTAGAAAGTCTCGTTTTGACATTCAAAACCACTATCAAGCACAGTTTCTTGGAGTTAAATCGATGCCATAAGCTCACAAGGGCCCGGCGCGCATCTGGCGAATGGGAGGAGGACAAGGCAGCGCCGGGTCGCCCCCTCCCACGGCATCTCGCGATCACCGGCTCTCCTCGGACCTCTCCCGCTCATCCCTCTCCCCTCGCCAACCCCCACGTATCCTCCGCCGCGAACCCCGCCCTCTCGTGTCTTCCCACCACCCCCCGCTCCCCCCGGGCCAACGTGGCAAGAAAAAGCTCTTCGCAGTTCGGCAGAACCACTTCCCGACTTACCCATTCCCATACCCTTCTGCTGTTAAAGGGCGCACGTGGATCCCGTTTCCAAGCCAGGTTGGCAAGTATAATAAGCAGTTAGAAATGTCGTGTGATTAGAATTTATCCACGGCTGAGGTGGACGGTGGGCCGATTCCTCGGCCTCCAAGTAAACGGGCCTCGCTCGCCATTTATAGGCGGAGGGTAGACTGCCACAGGCGAAATACTCGAACACCCAATTTGCATTCGCTTCCCGCTCGGCATTTCCTCGAACACCCAATTTGCATTCACTGCCCTGCCTCCTCCGCCATCGTTTTGTTCGATCGACTGGAAGACAGCGGAGACGATGAAGAAAGAGATGATGGGGTCGATGGAAGACGAGTTGTTTCCGTCCACGCCCGGGAAGGTGAAGATCGAGCGGACGCACGCGATCAATCGTCAGCTCCACCAGTGCTTCGCGTCCACCAGTACCATGTTCCTGTGGGCGCTGTTCCTGATCGCGCTCACGGCTTCCTACCTCAGCTTCCAGAGCTTCGTCGACTCCTCGTCCCGGTATTTTGACGCGTCGTGGGGCGGGATGCAATGGGAGAAGCAGATCCGGGCCTCCGCCACCGTCCGCCGCCCCGGCGGCTTCTCCGTGCTTGTCACCGGTGCTGCTGGGTTCGTCGGCACCCACGTCTCCCTCGCCCTCCGCAAGCGCGGCGACGGCGTGGTCGGCCTCGACAACTTGAATAGCTACTACGACCCCTCGCTGAAGAAGGCCCGCGTGGCGCTGCTGGACTCCCGCGGCGTGTTCGTGGTGGAGGGGGACATCAATGACGCTCGCCTCCTCGCCAAGCTCTTCGACGTCGTGCCCTTCACCCACGTGATGCACCTGGCGGCCCAGGCCGGCGTTCGCTACGCCATCGAGAACCCGGCGTCGTACGTGCATAGCAACATCGCGGGGCTTGTCGCGCTGCTCGAGGCGTGCAAGTCCGCGGACCCGCAGCCGGCAGTGGTGTGGGCGTCGTCCTCGTCGGTGTACGGCCTCAACGAGAAGGTGCCCTTCTCGGAGTCGGACCGGACCGACCGACCGGCCTCTCTGTACGCGGCGACGAAGAAGGCCGGCGAGGAGATCACCCACACCTACAACCACATCTACGGCCTCTCCACCACAGGGCTCCGCTTCTTCACCGTCTACGGACCCTGGGGCCGGCCCGACATGGCCTACTTCTCCTTCACCCGCAACATCCTCCAGGGGAAGCCCATCACCGTCTACCGCGGCAAGGACCGTGTCGACCTCGCCCGCGACTTCACCTACATCGACGACATCGTCAAGGGCTGCGTTGCCTCCCTCGACACCGCGGAGAAGAGCACCGGGACCGGCGGCCGGAAGCGTGGCCCCGCCCAGTACCGCATCTACAACCTGGGCAACACCTCGCCGGTGACGGTGCCGGCGCTGGTGGGCATCCTGGAGCACCACCTCAAGATGAAGGCGAAGAGGAACGTGGTGGAGATGCCGGGCAACGGGGACGTCCCCTTCACCCACGCCAACATCAGTTTGGCTCGAGCCGAGCTGGGCTACAAGCCGACCACCAACCTGGAAACCGGCCTGAAAAGGTTCGTTAGGTGGTACCTCCTCTACTACGGCTACAACACGAGAAGCGGCGGCTTAGCCGGCTCAGCTAAGAGCTTGTAAAGATGCCTCTTTCCGCTTACATCTCCGACCCATTTTTTTCTTAAAATTAGGGCTTTTTTTTCCCCCTTCGTTGCATGAGATTCGAATGTATAAGATAATTAGGCCTCATTTAATCGAATCAGAAGTCACTGTATTTATTTTCCACATACGCGAAGGCAAAGCATCGCCATCTCATTATTTATTTTATATTATTTATTTATACATCAAGGATGGCAGTAGAAACACCCGAGTACGTCTCTCTCAGTTGCCAGAACCGGAGCCATAGCCCGAGCCAGAACCCTCGCCGTTCCCCGCACCAGAACCTGCGCCCGAGCCCGCGGAGGAACCCGCGTCCGAACCTGCCGATGATCCCGCGCCTGCGCCCGAGCCTGCGGAGGAACCTGCGCCCGAACCTGCCGAAGAGCCCGCGCCGGAGCCTAAACCAGGCAGAGTCACCGAAAACGAACGTGATTCCGACCTGGAAGTCGAGCTGGAGTGACCAAACCCAGACTCGGAACCAGAGCCGGAGCCCGAACCTGAGACGGAGACCGTACCACCATCTACGCCAACACCGAGCCCAGTGCCGAGACCGACCCCGGTGCCAAGGCTCCCAAGATCCATCCTTGCCACCCGGCTCTCCACCACCAGAGCAGAGAGAGCAGCGAGAAGAGTGGCCAGGAGCAAGAGCTTCGAATGAGCCATGGCCGTGTTCTTGGTATTACCGGAGCAGTGGTTCCTTTGTGGAAGAACAGACGAGGCAAATGCTATTTATAGGCCGCAGAAGAGGAGTCGAAGAAGATGGAATGATCTGAGTTGGCTAACAGTAGCAATTAGCTCTCTGGTGGAGCAATTACTGCTGCTAATTTCTTCTTCTCGCACGACACGTTACAGGCAGTCAACATCCACTTGGGTCCCTCGCACTAATTAAGGTCAAAATTTGGCCGAACCATGTGGCCTCCGGGGCGGCACGCATGAGTGCGCAAGTCAACGCTGAAGTGTTCATTGCCGAGGGAAACACCACACGCCACAGGAGAGTCAAGCAATGGTTTTGGATAAGTACTCTTCTCCATTCAGAGCTTCGTATACACAAAAGCAACTTTAATCAGGTGCACTTGGTGACTATGTATGCATGTCATAGGCAAACGTAGTCTAAACCTCTCGGTGGATCAGATCAGCAACCATGTAGAAGGCTTCTTGTATAGTTTATTGCTCCAAGAGAAAGATGATGAACATTCCCGGAACAACCATAGCCATGCACTTAAAGCGAAGTGATTACGTGAACACATTCCAGTATCCTGTGCAGCAAAAATGGCAACTTCAGGTGCTGAAAACGTGCCTGTGGAGATGTTGTTTTCGGATTTCTAGTGCGCATGAAGAGGAAACCACTACGCCGAAACCCGTCACTGTTTGATATCGATCTTAGATGAAGCTAACCTTGACAGATCGGTAGGATAAACTAGGAGCAGCTGGTCAAAGCTTGAAATGCTACTTCGTTGATCTTAATGGGAAGATGCCCTTCTTTTAGTCAGTAACAATGTCTTGGCAGAAAGTTCAGCTGAAGCTGCACTCCCAACACATAGTGCAACCACAGCAGCACTATGTGGCAGCATTCCTGCTTCTCGTATATGGTAGGTGTCTCGGGCAGTGGTTTATTTCTTGGCTTCTTCTTTCTCAGATGGACGTGTAAGATTCGCTGTGCATGCGTAGCCATGCACTGAGACCTAAGTGATTAGGTGAGCACACACAATCTGATGTCCAACTCCGGCAGAGCCCAGTGCTGATAACGTGCCACCTTACGTGTTCTTTTCGGAACTTTAGTGCGCGCCTGAGGGGTGGGGGGTGGCCTCAGAGTTGTCTTTATTGCTTCTCTTCCTCTTGCATCATCCTCCCTTTGACAGAGATGATGGATTCGTGGAGCCACCACTACCTTCTGCACCACCTCTCTCAGCCACAAACTTAATTATACGGCCACCTTTCTGCTTTCGGCCGATATCGTTCCAACTTACCCCGTCCCGTTTCCACATGATTGACAGGACTGTCGCATGCCTCAATAATTAGCTCGAGAAGAAGAAGAAGAAGAAGAAGATCGCCTATAAATACCTCGTCACCAATGCCACTGCACTCCATCTCATTCTAAGCTTGTGGTTGCACTAAAAGAGTTTTGACTATGGCAGCTACGAGAGCTTCCGCTGTAGCATTGCTGTTGTTCTCAGTGTCACTGGCAATGGTCGCCACTGAGAGCCGGCCTGCCCGGAAAGACCTCGGCCTCGCCCTGGGTGGCGGCCTGGGCCTCGGTCTCGACCTCGGGCTAGGTGGTGGAGGCTCGGCCTCCGGCTCAGGCTCGGGTTCCGCCTCCGCCTCCGGGTCTGGCTCTGCTTCGGGTTCGGGTTCTGGTTCCTACGCCGGGTCGTACGCGGGCTCGTACGCTGGTTCGGGCAGTTCAGGCGCAGGCTCTTCGGCTGGTTCTGGTGCGGGGTCCGGTGCCGGCCAAGGAGGCGGGCGTGGCGGGGGCTCGGCGTCTGGCTACGGCGAGGGCCATGGCTACGGTGAGGGCCATGGAAACGGGTCCGGGTCGGGTTATGGCGAAGGCTATGGATATGGATCCGGATCCGGATCCGGTGATGGGCGTCACTGATGACGTTAAGTAGTCAGTCTGAGTCGATGCGGCTCGTTCAATAGTGGACGAATAAGGAGGGAGGTTGTGGCTTAGGTTGTTACGGAGGTCGTATATTTCTTTGTTCTGTTGTTCTATTGGTCTCGTTCGAAGTTGTTTGCATGCACGGTGTCAATAAGATGGGGTGTTTCCCTTTCTCATCATCTTCACGTCCACCTTTTATCATTATAACTAATTATTAAAAAAGCATGAATTTATGTTCAAATTCGAAGTTTTAAATAATTTTAAAATGAATAAAACAACTATGGTATGTGGTCTACACCTTATATATTCACGTATTTACCATACATATTTGTAAGGAAATTATGACGCTGAGTGATATCTTAGCAATTATATAATTGATGTTTTGATGATATGTAGCCGATACATTGAGACTATATGTCCAACACATTGATATTACATGATCGAAACCTCGATACTATTTTATCGACATCTCGACATTACGTAGGTGACACATTGTGCTATATCGTGAACATCTTGATACAACGTGATCGATATTTTGATGTTATGTTCTTGACATTTCAACTTGCATCATCCACTCGATGGATATTACCAATCGTATCATGATCATTACACGTTCTATGAATTCAACACAAACATAACTCCATGAAGATTGGGAGATGTGTGTAACCCTCCGCAATATTAATATAACGATCCTAATATCATACTATAAAAAATCCTCTAGATATATTCCACTCCACCCAATAATTCACAGTGTACATTTGACTATAGCAATCTTGACACATTTAGTTGATACTTCACTCTATAAATTAACTTAAGAGTTTGATAGACATTATCGGGTGCACCTTCGACATAATTTTACAGTTTTGACGTCCTTAACGACTTGATATTTTTTTATTCTAATTAAAAATAAATATAAAATAGTACCTCAGTGGGTCCCAAATCAATATTCCAATTGATCAACCAAATTTTGACTTAACATATATATGCATATATTTCATATATATATATATATATATATATTTAAAAATTCTTAAATATTCAAGAATATTAGTTTTTACTCGATCTGCATCAGTTGTAAATGTTTTCTCATTAACAACAACAAAATTATAATATCTCAAAATAATGAAAGATTAGCTATATGAATCTTTTACGGTTAACAAAAAGATTTCACATAGACTAGTAATTGAAAAAAATTTCTTGCATCATCACAAGATTATTGAATTAAATTCCTACCATCTTAACTTATTATTTGTAAAAACAAAAAAAACATCTTTGAATTAGTCAAATCATATGCCTCCACACCTTCTCACCAAATTGTTATTCAAGTATGTATCATCATCATCATCTAACTTTTTAATGGCCCAATTGAGGATCATATGGGCCTTAAACGGGCCATTCAATCCCAATCTAAGTCAACATGCGAACCGCAACGGGCGGCTTCGTTCCGTTCCAGCTTGGCTACTCCCCAGTACAGGACCGTCAATGGGGACACTAACCATCCTCGAGATTAGCAAACCAAAAAGATAGACGGTGCAGATCTTTCGCGAGGCCTCGTCGCGAACCGGTTCGCCGAGTTAATTAGGTGCCTCCGCGGTCGCACAGCCCACTGATTCGCGAGGTCGCGTTCGAAGGGAGCTTCGTTGGTTTCTGTCTCGCTTTGGGGATCTTCCGATGGCGGAGGTACTCAGCTCGATTGGTTCATTCTTTCTCTCCTCGTTCTCTCTCTTTCTTTCTCTCTCTCTCACACACACACACTCGCGCGCGCGCGTAGATCACAAGCCTTGATTTGGATCTCTCGCGTGTCGGGTCGACCTGTGGATCTTTTGGTTGGTAGATCATTCTGTCCTCCCATCGCCATCGGATCAAGGAATAAATCGGCGTCTTTTTGGGATGTTTTCGTTTTTCGTTTCGTCTATTTCAGATACTAGGGTTTCTTCTTTTACTGCTGATCTATTGATTCTGTAGCTTCCAATTAGGCTTAAGGTTGCGGCGATATCTAGAAAGATTTATTACAGATTATTTTGTGCATGTGTGTGAAAAGTGGTACTTCAACGTTGTAGAGTACGGTAGAAGTTGTTGTCATGTTCAACATCATCAAGATATTTTTATTGTGTTGGATACTCGAGATGAAGGTTGTTTCCTGATGCAAAGCCGACTTGAAGATGTTTCTTGTACAAGGGACATCTGTTTCATTTCTAGACAAGTTGCAACCCAATGGAGGACGATGATAATGATCTACTAACTAAGCAAGATATCTTGATCTAATTATTAAATAAAATAAAAAAGAACATGGAAGATCGATAATACTACATGGACTTTGATGGTCACAATAATATTACAAAGGCAACAAAGGAATGCTTAAAAGGCTTTAAAGGTAATATGTAGTTTCTTTGACAGGCTGATTGGTCAAACTAAAAGGTTAATGAATTAGGTTGTGCAAAAGAGAATGTCATGAAGTTTGGAAACTTTGTGAGAATAGTAAGAAGAGAGAACATTGAAAGATTTAAATTGGTCGAAAATAAATTAAGAAGTTGCTAGTGAGAACAATTTTAAGGCTTCTAATAATATTTACAAGAAGTTTAGTAATAGAGGCTAAGAGTGAGATTCCCAAGCTTGCCGAAATTTGGAAAAGAAATGTTAGGTTTTTGGAAAAGAAATTTGGAAATGTTCAGTTTGAAGATGATAAGATTTTGAACATAAATAAATGACCTATAAGTAGGGAGATGGAGTTCCCTTTCATACATTATTCAATGAGATTCATGCAGGTTAATTTAGTTTGGACCTAAATAACTGGAAATTGTGCAAAAATAAAATTGTTACCGAGAAAAAAATAGGTCAAGTGAAATGAAACATGAACTACAAAATCAGGCGAAGGTGACTTGTTCTGAATAATCTTGATGCAAAAGTGCTTAGAGGACAACAGGCTGAATCTGTTTTCTAACCTTCTTCCAATAATATTTTAATAAATAGAAGAATGCTGGATTAATGGAAAAGTATTTGGTACCTATGTAAAAGAACAAATGAGGAATTCCTGTATTATGGTATTTAGCTTGTGAGGTGAACTATTAAGTTTTAATATAATAACAGTGTTCTTAAAAATCATCTTGCTTTTAAGCTAAGGAAGATACTAAATCATGCAGTCTATTAAAAATACATGTGATAAAATTCACAACAACAACAAACCAAAAAAAAAGCCGTAATATCCCAATTATTTGAGGTTGATTGAATGGATCTTTTGCCTCTATTAGTCAAATTTAAAGTATTTTAATCTTTACTTGGGAAATCTTTTAAGGTCGCCTTCCACCTCCTTTTGTATTACTAATAGTAATTATCTCATATCTTCTAACTACAAAATCTATAGGTGCCCTCTTAAAACATTCTCCATTACTTTATCCTCTATTGAAGTTATAATTAATTGGTCACCAATGAAGACTTTGTTTTCTCTTATCTTTCTTATTAACTCCGCACATCCATGTCTATAAATGATGAAATTATTTTGGTAAAATAGAAAATAAGGCTTACATAGGGTTGTTGCTGCATTGCTGGTGATGTAGCATGATAGGTTTTAGAAGACAATAACATGTCCTGGGCAATGATAGGATAAGAAGAAAGATGAAGAGGTGGAATAGTTGTTATCCATCATGTAAGATTTACACCATGAAGTTTCTTTAAATAGATTTACGCCAAGAGCAGGATCAATCATTTTGCATCAAGATTAAAATTGTATGCCTCTTGGTGTCAATTGTTCCATGCATGATAAAAACCAGAGCCTAAGGGCGTACCCAGAGCATGAGGCTCTGCCAATACGGAGTCTGGGGATGGATCAATGAACACAGCCTTACTTTTAAATATTTAAAGAGGCTGTTTCTGTGATACGAACTCCGATCTCCTAGGTCATAAAGGAGCAACCGATAAAAACCAGAGCCTTTTCAACTTAACTTACTTCCCATGATCCTCATACTTGAGAGTAAAATTTGACTCTTTAGGAGGTGAATCATATTCTACACTCCCATGCAGCTGGGTTAACAAACAACAGTAATGTATTTCTTGTCTATAACAGTCATAACTGTCATTCATTAGACACATATTTACTCCTGCATTGACCAATTGAATTTTGTGTCTATTTGGTCATTAATTCACATGGTTGGCCTAGTTGTTATAAAATAGCTTGGTTTAAAAAAAAAAACTTGTTCTTATGTATCTGATACGGTTTGCTTCTCTTTGTTAGATTGAGTTGAAAACAGCACCAGCCGATTTTCGCTTTCCCACTACAAATCAAACCAGGCACTGTTTCACTCGCTACATTGAATATCACAAGTATGGTTCAACAGCTGAGAATGTTTTGGTACAGAATACGTTAGTGTAAATATCTAATATCAACTTTCGTATTAGTCTGATGTATATTACATTGTAGGTGTGTGGCAGCTAAGGGTGAGGAGACTCCTGATTGTCATAAATTTGCCAAATACTATAGATCTCTCTGCCCGGGGGAATGGGTAAGTCGTTATGCTTTCTTATTTCTACCCTCGATACTTGTGATTAACTTTATCATCTTTTCAAGGCCATAAGGTCTGTCTTGGCATCAACTATTTTTGTTGTGTTTACAAATTGTTCATGAGTTCTCTGATGATGCCTGGGGCTATTTGATCTATCTGATTAGATCCTGTGTTTTCAACAAGTTTTCATTCATCTACTGGTGGGCTTTTTCACCATCTTTCACCTTATGACCTAGGTTGAGAAGTGGAATGAGCAAAGGGCAAATGGCACATTTCCTGGTCCCCTGTAATGGTCAAGAAGCATGAGAAGACAACCTCTTCCCCTGATCGCCGTGTTTCATGAATCAAAACGTCGTTCCGAACTCAATCGTTTGCTTTAGTTTGAATGTTACATGATCAGTTCAGAATTGCCGTCTCTGATGTTTTGGAGTACTGTGCTGTAATAAGAGGATAAATCTATGTCCAGGTTTTGTCTCTATTTCAAGTACTGCGTCTGTTGTCGACTTTCATGTTTCTGTTGGTCAGCTCATTCAAAATCTCTGCTTCTGTAATTAAGAAATGGACCCGACAATTGAATCTTGTTGCCTGCACAGTTGTTCTGTGATGACCACATCTAATTATTGCGGCAGAGTGGAGGGGACACCGTCTGAAGAGTAGCATGCCCTACAATTGGATCTCCGGTGGAACATTTTAGGAGGACTAACTGCGGTAACATGACTCTGTTCTTCCTCATTTCACATGTTAATAAAGTTTTATCGTATGTTATGTCATCCATAGCATAGTTTCTGTGCTAGCTAAATTTTTTGTACTGGTTATTTATATCAGGTTACCATTCTGGATATGAACATCACATAGTTTGCTTGCATTACATGGATTTCTACGGAATCCATACTATATATATTGTCGAGACCAGTTTAATTCTCCATATTACCAATGGTAAGATCAGTTTCTACGGTCTGATGATTACGAAGGATAATGATTTTTGAGGATCATCTATGATCAAAAGGGTTCACCTAAAGTACTGATTTGATACTAGTCCAGAATCTATACATTTGTGCAAGAGCTGATGTAGCATCAAAACAAAATTGATGTGAAAACGTCAATCTCAAGTGTCTGGTTTGGACATTTCAGCACATGAAGGAAACTTTACAGCTCTGATCATGGACAAATTTGGCAGGGTTCATTAAAAAAAAAGACAAAAAAAAGAAAGAAAACTCTTTTTTATTTTGTTGTCTTTTTTCTATATAAGTTGCTCCTTTGTATCAACTCGATGCATTATTGTCGACATGACAAAAGATCAAATAATTATCTACTAAAATCAAAGATGCGTGCGTTCACACAACATCACCAGGATGTTCATGGGAAAAAAACTATATATAGATTAGATATATACTACCTTTTTAATCAGAGAATATTATATAATGTGGGAGATGGTGTCCACCCACGGCCATATTCCACTGCACTTACCACTGCGGACATCTCGCACATACCGAGCGTAGTCTTCATCGCATTTCGTATTTTATGTTCTCGTTTTCCTCCTCATCTTTACCTTGAAATTATTATTATTATTATTATTATTATTATTGTTGAGCTAAACGGACGGTCGGATGGACTGCTCGCATAAAGAAATCAACGTACGGGAACATATCCGCCGTCTGCTTCCTTTATTCCACCTCACCTCCTGTTGTGGCAAAACCACAAAACCATCACACTCACCCCCTTCTCTCTTTTTCTCTCTCACAGTCGCTCTGTCTCTCCCTCGCCCCCCTCCCCTAGCCGACATAGGCGATCTCCCGGCGTCAGCATCTCCTCCCGCAGCTCCGGCCCGATCGTCACCTCTTCCCCGCCCCGATCGCCGGTGGGGAGGGACCGATTTGTCTTCTTTCCGCCGGTTCGTCAAGATTTCTGGCGGATCTCCGCGTGGCCACCCGCATCCCGCTTTCCAGCTCTTCCGAGCTCTGGTTTTCCAGCTGCCGGTGGAATTAGGTCTTCGGACTAGTGAGCATTTCTTGATTTCGTGGTTCTCTTGGTTCTTGGTATTCGTTGTTTGCGATGAGAAGCAAAGATTTCGTTTGAGCAGAGATCTTCTCTTGCTTCGTCTTTTGGAGAAAGTTAGGAACAAGAAATTACTTTTCCCCCAACTATATTAACATCCTTCTCATGAAATATGCGAAGTTAAGATGCCTCTGATGGTCGAAGACATTAAGTATGTTGGCAAAGACTTAATAAAAAATTTTCAGTTATGAGACTCCACCATGCCTTGAAGAAGTGATTCCGACTGCAGGCATGTCGAGATCTTTGAATGCCATCAAACTACTGGAGTGTCGGCGGTGTGTCTATTAATCACTGGTCTTTCAGTTTAAACCCTTAACTTAGGTTTGATTCACCAAGTTTGAATACTAATGGAGGGGGGTTGTTATCTATTATGATGATTACGTTATGCAAGTTGTGCATGTAAGTTTCATGACTTTTGTATGCCATATTTGTAAATTTCATTCATGCATTTCATTTGTTACTCATATTGTTCCCTAAGATATGAGCCGTTTTTGAAATGATCAGAACCAATATTTTTTATGAAGCATTATCATTGGAGGCAAACTTAAAGGGTTGTACTGGATTGTGGATATGTAAATTAGTCCTACAATAGAGTTGATGAAAAGTTAAAACGAAATAGTGAGTATGTAAATTAGTTATTGTTGATGTAATAAAATATATATATGGTATATTAGTCACACTGTTAGGATAATAGGTAGTATGTTCAGTGAGTCTTTATTTTTCAACTGTTGGTTTACACAAAGATTCAATTTTATGTATGTATCCTTTTTATTATTGGTAATGGACATATTACTAGCATATGTAGGATAAACCTCCATGGCATTTGTTGTTTGCCGATGATATTATTGTACCTGAGGAGTCTAATTGGAATTAGCTTTGAACATGATTAACAAAGATAAAAAATTGATATTTTTAAACTAAGTATAACTAAGACCTATATGAAACCCAATTTCAGTAATGCCACTAGAAAATTTGAGGGTTTTGTAATGATGGGTGGACAAAACATTCCTGCAAGTGAAAGTTTTAGGTATCTTGTATATATTAATAAATAGGAAGGAGAGTCTGGTGAAAACATTATTCACAGAGTAAAAGTGGGTGGTAAAAATCAAAGATATCGGGTGTTTTGTGTGATTATAATATGCTTCTTCGTTAAAAAGTAAAATTTTGTAAGAAAGTTGTAAGGCTAACTATGCTTTATGGATTATGATGTTTATTGGATCATGGACCCAAGTGTTGTTAAATGGTCTGTAAAATCTTATTATCCTTGATCTGATTCTGTGATTTCAATGCTAAGGACCTCATATTGATCCTTAATTTGGGTAGAATCATGATCCTGACAATGTTCTTAGAGGAGGTAGATGCTGTTTTGCTGCTTGGGTTACCCGTTGGTAACCAATCATTGCACTTGATGTCACCCTTCAATAAAATTTTTTTTTGAACAAATTAGTTTATTAGAGATCCACAAAGGCATCATCATAAGTGAGAAATTCACAAACCATGCGTTGGCCTAGTGGTTGCTTACTCCCTTCATCCAAAAGGTTCTTGGTTCAAATATATGTTGAAACTGTGTCCAAGTATTTTTGATCCACGTAATTCTATTTGTGGGGAATAATATTTTCATTATTCTCAAAGAAGGTGTCTGAGGAATTTGATTTGTTTCTGTTTTTCCATTCAATAACCAAAAGATATTATAGTGTTTGTTTGCTTGCCCATTAGTCATTTGCTGACAATGCTATTTATGCAAAACTTATATGTTTTTCTCTTACCTGTTTAAATTTCTTTTATTCTTTCATCTTATTGATGGAAATTTGAACTTTCAATGAAAATTAGGTTCTTGATGGAGCAGATGTGGACCATATAATTGTTTAACGTAGTCCCATTATGCTTGACGAGCACTTCAATGAGACAATTTTTGATGAAATGTCAGAGGCTACTCTTTGTTGTGATAGTGCCACTTTTAATGAGTTTAACCAACGCAATAAGTCCAGATGGTATGAGATGATTCTTTAGACTACTAAGTTTTGCTCTATTATTTTATGTATAACTTTTAAGCTGAATTATTTTACAGGTGAGGTGTTGCTTAGCATTAAGACAGCAATTGTTGGTTCAGATGGTGTTTTCCTCAATTGGAGACAAGAAGATCCTGATCCTTGTAGTTGGAGAGGTGTAACATGTGACAGTAGTACTAAGAGAATTATTCATCTGTAAGTATATGTTGGTGGGCTCAGCCGATCTCCCAATGGCTTCCAATCTGATCCTGTGAATACCAACCATTTTCCTTTTGGTTTTGGCAGACTTTTGGCAAATCCCTGTGTCCTAGCTAGGTTTTTTTTTTTTTGCTCAAGTTAATTTCTGCCAACTTAATGGATTCTGGTCAATCCTGATGATTTCAGTTGATTTCCAGTCATTTAAAAAAAACAAAAAGTTTATTCCATAAATGGTTTTGATGGGTACAAATTTATCCTGTTCCAAAATCCTACAAGTGACCCTGAACCCAACCTTATCCTGTTCCAAAATCCTACAAGTGACCCTGAACCCAACCTTATCCTGTGAACCTTAGCAGTTGTATTTAGCGCCTGTTACTCTGCATCTAAAACCACTATTGCTCAATAGATACTTCTTATCAACCAGCAACTGGTACCTTACTTAAAAGGGGAGCTTGAACTCTTTGTTGTAGTGTATGTGGGTCAAGATTGTCATTATGCTCTTAAAATATGTAAACTTCACATGCTCAAGTAATCATGATTAGACATCAGATATTTCTATATTTTTCTTCACCTCAAAAGGGGTAGTATTTGTCTTGCCATATTTGGATCTCATTTATAGCATGTGAGAGTCATGATGATAAGCCATCATCGTGCTGCTTCTTGTATTTGGTGTCCAGTATGTTGTATATGGAGTTCACAAAATTCATCAATTGGATAATTTTTGGTCATTAAATCCTTTCTTTTTAGTTTAATGGTCTTGGGATTGTTGTTATGCATAACTAGTTTAATGTGTTATTTGTTTCAGGAGGCTTGCCTACCACAAGTTGATTGGTTCCATATCACCAGAAATAGGAAAGCTAAATTACTTAAGGCTGCTGTCAGTATCATCCAAAGAGAGTCTATTAGTTTCCTCAGTTTCTGTTAAATAGTCATTATTTACTGCTACCTTAACCCTTCTCTTGTAGAGCTCTGCATGGCAACAGCTTATACGGTGTCATCCCTCCAGAACTAGGAAATTGCACAGAGCTACAATATTTGTAAGTTCTTATTTGCTTACTGGATGTACTATTAACTTATATGCATAAACTGCTACTAACTTGTTACTATCAATTATTGTAATTATCATATTATTAATGTATACTTTTTTTCCTTTGAGAAAAAAGCCAACTGTTTTCAATGTTAAGATGTGTTGAGATTGGTATTATTTCACTAGCAATCCTATATGATCCAGCAATTGTCCAAAAGTATTAGTAATGTCATTTGATGGACCAAAAAGGAGTTCAAACATATGGATTTCTTGGTGAATAGTCTGTTATGCAATTGTCATTTTAGAAATTTGTCCAGGGTTTCATTCATGCATAATCTATATCGGGTAGACCGTGTTGTTGTGATTACTACTCTACATTCAACTTGAAGCACTTAGCTAGAGTGTTAAAGAGAACAGAAAGTTCAGATTTTTCATGAGCAACTTTGAGAGTTGGTCGAGTTATTCTGGCTTGTAGTGCTTTCTCTTGAAGTTGCTACATGAATTCTTTCTACTAGGATAGAACACACATATGATGATTCATTTTGCAAGGAATCTGTATATCATTGCCATCCATGCCATTTCTTCAGTTTATTGGTTTTGATATGTGCCATTTTTCTCTCTTGTCATCCCTTAGGTCATCAGCCTAAGTCAAACTGCAATTTGATGATGCTCGTCACTTCATCTGTCAATTTGTCATTGACCCAATTGTCCTGGTTCAGAGAAATGTACTTTGTTTCTTGAGTTTTGTGGCAAATGTACTGCCATTCCTTTTCATATCTTCATTACTTAAGGTTAAATTTCATCTGTTTGATTTCACTTTTTAACACTCAAAACTTTCCTCTCAAAAGGGATCTTTTGAATGGTCTTCTTAATATTGTCATCAGCAGGCATTTCCCATGTTTATGAAATTTACTATAGAATTTGCCTCCAAGTTGAGTTGGCTTCATGAAAGATTTGCAAGAATCATATGATGGGCTGTCAAACTGACAGCACCCATCCAAAAACTCATGATTTTTCTAAAGAAACAATCACATGAGATCAAGATGCTGAAGTCCATGTCCTGGTCACTAATTAATGGAAAGAGGAAGTGCACAATTTTTCAAGAGTTAGAACTCCCCTTCTAACAGAGAGGAAACTGGGAGTGCCTCTAGAAATGTTCCCTGCTGGGGTGCAGAGACATTGAGATGATTGATAAATAGATTGAGATTTTGATTACTGAAATTGTTATTCAATTTCATAAATGAAATTGTTATTCAATTTCATAAATGAAATTGTTATTCAATTCTAAATTTCTAATCATAGCTTTTGACCTGCTTAAAATGTGGATCTTTGCCATTCATGTCACCATCTCACGACAGAGAATAGCCAAGGTTCAAGCCAAAAAGTGCTTAAATAAATTAAATCATCTCCTGAAGTTAAGCTCTATTAGCTACCTTTTAAAGATTCTACATAGACTCTTTCTGATGTAGCAACCAATGTGTTTAACAGAGTTTATGACCTTTCCAGTTGTAGGATTGGGTTGACCTACCAGCCCTTTGATCAGATTCATGAACTATTTTATGTTTTAGTTTTTCCTACAGTTGTACTCATTTATCTTATGTTAAAAATATATTACAACTTGGGAACCTCATAGTATCAACTCTTTGCAGATCTTTGCAGGGAAATTACTTGAGTGGAATTATTCCACCAGAGCTTGGTAATCTTTTGGAGTTGCAGATTTTGTAAGTTTGTATTCTTGTTGTTCCACTTGTATTTTAACAGTTATCTACAACTTTTTAACTGTCTGATAGCTAAATATCTTGTTTGACTATGATTAACAAACCTCAAGCTATTTCTTCTGGTTTATGCGCCATCCATGTTTATAGAAGGTAAGATAGGTTATTGTGTTTTGGGAGCAGTATTACTGGCATGGCTAAATATCATGGTGCTGTACCACACCAATGCAGGTGCCAGTCGATTACTGATGTTATGTGCCAACATTTATGTTGGGAACATACTCTGTTATGACCTTAAGCTGATTTATGTTTCTCTTGATGTAATATGTTTTGGCTATTTTTGTTATGTCTTGAAATTTCTATACATTTCTAATGTATATGATTTTCTTTGAACGCGGACTATCATGACTAGGTGATTCTTCTAATTCTAACAGCAAGTTGGCTATGAAATACTTTTCTGTCATCTTCTTGGATGTCAAGAAATTCAGTATTTCTTTGTTGTACTTTACATTTATTTTTGCTTACTCTGTTAGGGATATCTCTAGCAACACTCTGAGCGGAACCATTCCTCAATCTCTTGGTAACCTCACAAAATTAACATTATTGTAAGTGATTTTCTATGTTCATATGCAAATGTTTAGAATGAATTTATTAGTCATCAAAACTGATTTCTGATATCTTTTTGAAGCAATGTATCAATGAACTTTTTGACTGGAAGAATCTCATCTGAAGGTGCACTCTTCAAATTTAATGAGGCTTCGTAAGTAGTACATGCTCACTTTTGATGATAGCTAGTCAGGAATATGAACCTTTAAAAAATTCCTTTTCCACTCTACTGAAGCTTCTCCATCTAATTATTTTGTTGTTTATACTGATTCATTTTAACACGAAAGGTGAATCTAAAGGTTATGTTTATTAACATACTTTGCATTCATGGATTTAAATGTTGTGATGTGCTAATTAACCAACAGTACCAAGCCATTCGAGCTGCTTACATGCAAATACCAATATATTACTTTCTTTTATTATTTTACTGCAAAATACTTCAACATATTTGCATACCACACTAATCTGAGAGAACCAACTGCAGGTTTGGTGCTTTAGATTTTATTTCTTGTACTCATTTATAAATTAGCAAGGGCTAGGCTGATCATGAATAAAATAATTAAAAAAAAGCTGGTTACTCATGCAAATCGTACTTAATCAGTCTCGTATGAATGACATTCAGCTTTATTGGAAACCGTGGATTGTGTGGAAAGCAAATTGGTGTTGTCTGCAAGGATGAGATTCCATCACCCTCAGGAGGTTCTCAACTGTTCTATCCAGGTAGTATGCACTCTCCTTCAGATACACATTGTCTCACAGTATCTGTCACCATTTTCATTAAGAGAAGTCAATTTCTGTTGTCTTCATAACTATGCAAGCAAAACTATCTTAAGCTTTTATTTTCTTGATATTTTGAAAGAAAGGCAATTAGCTTTTTTAAGTTTGTATTTGTCCATATGTGGTTGTTTAAAGAATTATGTTCCTGGGATCATATGATCTCCATATCATCCTTGGGTCTGAATCAGGTAGAATCACAACGCATAGGCCTAAACTTTCATGTTATAAAAACAGATAGGTATTCTACCTAAATGAGATGAGTAAATTTGGATTAGTGGCATGGGATTGGTAAAGGAAGATCTCAGAAAACCTTTCTATTTGAGGAAATGATTCTATGAAAAAATTATCTGAAACAGTAGATAGAGATTGTTGGCTCTTAGTTTGACAAATGATGTTGCCATCAATAGAGCTCTGTGTCAGGAAAAAAAATCATATAATCAGCCTCATAGCTGGGGCCTTGGCTTCTTGTTGCTTTTAGATTTAGTTGAAAATGTGCAGCTTGAAATTCTTATTTAGAAGTGGTTAACAACCAAATGAGTTTTTATGTTTCTTTAATTCATCATCAGGGAAAGTGAAATGTTGTTGCTAATATGTATATCAACTCTGTCTTCACTGTTGGCATGCCAGTGAATGTTGGACGATTGAAATATGTAGTGGAGTCCTGAATAAGCAGATTCATACAAGACATTTATGATTTCTTTACATTTTAATTACCATAGTTATCCATGTATAATGTATTACCAATGATTGTGTCCATGTCTGTGAAACAATACTTGCTTTTAAGAAAAGGAGATTTAGAATTTGAAATGCATACAAAGGTAATATTTGTGTGGATCAACCACTTGAGAATGTGTTTGTAACTTTTTATAAAACTATTATTTTATGGAGTCCTCTATACAAATAATAATTAGGAGACAGCATCATATTTGTTTTAGTATAACTTGCCATTCATCTACCACTTAAGTTGCATATGCTTACACTTTTTTGAAACCTCCAGATATATTACATTTTCTAGGAATTTAAAAGGATCTGAGTACTATGAGCATATCCAATTTAAGCTCATCTACAATTTCTAATATGATCTGTGGATCCTAACAACATTCACTTTTAGGTTTCTGCAATAAGATGTGCATCTTTAAACAGATTTAGAACTTGTATTTACTTTTCTGAATTTTTATTAACTTGGGGAATATACATCTAAATGAGGACCTTATTGACATATTTTGACTATTATAAAATTTCTGACCATGGCATGTTGTTGTAAAATAATATTACTCTTCGGGGCTTCACAATGTTGGCTTATGCAAGCACTTCCATGGCATGTCCTTTGTTTCCTTTAACATTATTCTCACTGTTTGTTTATGAGATTGTAATGTACCTGCACAGATAACCTAAAGCACCCGTCAAAGAATTCTGCTAAGCTTGTTACAAGTGCTGTAGCAACAGTAGGAGCTTTGTTGTTGGTGGCACTAATGTGTTTCTGGGGTTGCTTCCTTTATAAGAAGTTTGGTAAAGGTGACATCAGTGGTCCTGCGATGGATGTTAGTGGAGGTACCAATACTTGTTGAGTTGTTGTTACAAGCATATTGACATATTCATTTTGTTATTCTGGAGATAAGTATTGGAGAGTTTTCTGACACAGTATCCTATTTCAGGTGCATCCATAGTAATTTTTCACGGGGACTTGCCCTACTCATCAAAAGATATTCTTAGGAAACTAGAGACCTTAAATGAGGAAAACATCATCGGTTCTGGGGGCTTTGGAACTGTATACAAGCTTGCCATGGATGATGGAAATGTTTTTGCATTGAAAAGAATAATGAAGACAAATGAAGTCCTGGATCGGTTCTTTGACAGAGAACTTGAAATTTTGGGGAGCATTAAACATCGGTATTTGGTCAATCTTCGAGGATATTGCAATTCACCTTCCTCTAAGTTGTTAATCTATGATTTCTTACCTGGTGGAAGCTTAGATGAAGTATTACATGGTTAGTTCTGCACTCGCTGTCATTTTGAACTTGGTTTCTTTTAGTGTTATTCTGCTCCACATGTTTGTTATGATTATTAATTCCTTTTCTAGTATAATTTGGCATTGAAAACTTAGTAGAATTTCATTGAGCAGGCCACTCCTTTGCTTCTTGTATTGAGCACTTAGTTTTTATTTTCAATTTTTAACTATTGTCTTTGTTTACAGCTTGAAATGGTTTGTGAATTCAAACTTTTAAATGCTAGTCATATTACTCATACTGAAATCTTATCAGAGCAGTATGTATAGTTCTTCACTGGTGCAGTATGCCTCACTATAAAAGAAAGGAAACTAAATGTTCAATATATGGGCATCATTCATATGATAGGCACACCAGTACACCAATACCATGTGAATCATTTAAAGGCACAACGGAATACAATTAAAAAAATTTTAAATGATACCAGGTGGTATAAGTCAGTATACCCATATATTCTTGGACTACCAGTTTGATCACTTGCTGAAACTAGTGTGTGTGACCAAGATTAAAATCCTTGATCAATTTTTTTGTGGATTTTATTTGTTTCTGTCAGTATGTAGTTTATACACTCAATTTCATCATTTTCATCTACCAGTTAAACCTGGTTTGCACCTTGGTAAGAACATCTGTGGATTTTATTTGCTTCTGCAAGTCTGTAGTTAAACACTCAGTTTCATCCCTTTTTATCAGCTTAGTACGTTCTTTTGAGTTAGACTCACGTTAATAGTATGCCCCTATGTTTTCAATGAATTCAGTATTACTTGCAGGTTCATATTATTAGGCGTCCTATCTATGTGATAAGGTGGTCCTGGTCATTTATACAAGTCATATTGACATAACAATTTGATATTTATAATTGTAATTGAACAGAAAGAGCAGAACAATTGGACTGGGATGCACGCCTTAATATCATCCTGGGCGCTGCAAAAGGACTTGCATACTTGCATCATGATTGTTCACCTCGAATAATACATCGTGACATCAAGTCCAGCAACATATTACTTGATGGGAATCTTGAAGCTCGTGTATCTGATTTTGGACTTGCAAAATTGTTGGAGGATGAAGAGTCACATATAACCACAATAGTTGCTGGAACCTTTGGTTATCTTGCTCCAGGTACATCACACAATACACATTAGATAAATCTGTTTTCATGTTGATGAATTTTATGCTCTCGTATCAAATTCTATAAAGCTTCTAGGATTTCAATTTGCTTGAACAAGCACAGATCTTTACTTGGTAGTGTAACTGTAAACCATACTGGACGTTGGTCATGGTTATCTACGACTTAATGATGCGTCTATATATTTCTTCATCTGTGACTTAATGATGCATCAATATTTCTTCATTTTCTTTTAGATATGGATACATTACTCTGGTGGCAATATATTTCAAGATGGAACTGTACATTTTTTTGTTATTTAAAAAGTTGTTAAACTATTCTTGGGGATTTAATTCTTTTTCTACTCCAATAGGTGGCTTATTCCAATAACTAATTGCTTAGGTGGCAAGCACCAGTAATTGAACAGTTGGTGTTTGTTTCTTGCAACAAGCCAGTCATCTTTACCTAACTGAGTATTTACGAATGTGATTATGGGGAAACTTAATAGCTAATACCACAGTTATTTCTTCATGCTATCCAGCATTCTGCTTCTCTTTCCATAAGTATTTTCATCATACTTGGCTAATAACTGCAGTTGTTATTTAGTTTTTTTAATAAAACACCACAACTCAGTACCATATTCGTCTGACTTTAATTGCAATTTATACCTGGCATGTCTTTGTCATAGCTTAAGTTAGTTTCACCAATTTTCTGGTTGTGTATTGGCATTGAAGCATTGCTTGCTGCTCTTCTATTTTCTCAAACAATTTGACCATCTGAACAGTGCAACTTTTTTTTTTTTCTAAGAATTGAACTATTACTGTTCTGTTTGTAGAATACATGCAGAGTGGTAGGGCTACAGAAAAAACTGATGTGTACAGTTTTGGTGTCTTGGTGCTTGAAGTATTGAGTGGAAAACGGCCAACTGATTCATCATTCATTGAGAAAGGTTTGAATATAGTTGGATGGGTAAGTTTTTATCATCTGCCTTAATTATTTTCTTTATCTGACATGATCCATATGTACTGATCTGTGAAATTATTGTTTGGTTTGCTTTGAAGAAATTTGTTTTTTCTTAATTGTTTATCGTCTTTGATTTTAAATTAGATATATAGTTATCTACTATCATATGCCATTTGTATTAAGCTTCAATTAAATATTAATGAAATTCAAATGGGCTTCATAATTAAAGGTTATTGCTATCTTACATCCATGAAGTATGTTGCTAAAGCTATCTTACATCCATGTTGCAGTGGAACTCAAATCTAATATGGTTGTAGCATAGATTAGGGTGGTTATTTTCCTAGTTAGAGTTGTATACTGAGAGTTAGTCTTTTAAAATGGAGATATTATGGGGATGGGAGACCATCTATTTCAGTTTCTGTTTTTCTTAAGAAAAAGGCCTGTACTTATGGTTGAAAACAAGATAAGGGAAAGTCCACTTCTATGACTAACTCTAGTTATTGTGTTGCTGACTGGTGCATTTGATCTGTCAAAGTCTGGTATCTACTAATTTCTTCTGACTTTATATTTGCATTAAAATTTCTCTTAAGAACCATCAAGATATAGGCATGGTCTTAATGGAGGATCTAAAATTTACTAAATGTAGAAGATCAAGAGGAGTCTAAATGGATCAAATTAGGCTTAAGGATCTTGCACAATGCAGTTTGCCGGAATCCTCTATGTCTTATTTTGACTGGGTGACTGTATGCATCCATTATCATACTGTCCATATTAACCTTTGCTTAACCTTATTCGGGCAGATATTTCATTGGACCTGTTGTGGATCCACTATGGCACCTTGTCAATTTTTTGCATCACTTGCTTATAACAAGACTTGATTCCGGGTACTTAATCTTCTAATTACTATGCTGTTGATGGAAGATTATTAAATTTCTTTGGATATGGAATAACCAAGCCTTTATACCAACTACTTGGTGTTGGTTATATAATGACATATGGAGTCTGAAAATAAAATTCTTTGATGATTCTTGGTTTGTCAGATTAGCATGTCTATGCTGGGTTTTGCATGGAGCTCGTTCTCTTTTTGCTTGGGCTTTCCTGAGCTGGAAGTTATCTTTAGATTGGAGTTTTTCTCTTTGCTCTATCAGTTGTCTGAGTTCAAATGAACAGGGTGATTTTTTTTGTGCTCAGCTTTAGGAGGATCAAACACCCATGTTCAGACTTGGGCTCTGAGATCAGTCTGCTTTGGTTTCAGAGAAGGGGGAGTCGGGGATGTGCAGATTGAGGAGAGATCTAGAGTCGCAGCCTAGTGGGATCGGGTAGTTAAGTTATATTTAATGGATTCATAGTCGCCCATTATTCTTCTCCAAATGCAATTTCCCAGATCATGGTGCTACAATGCTACTTTGTTTGTGAGAGATGTAATGGGGGCATATTGCAAGTACTCCATTTTTATTTCCTTTTTTGTCCATCCTGGCATATGGTCAGGGTTGTTGAGTTCACGGGGAAACGGTGATGATGCTGGAATCTGAATGAAGAGAGGGATCCTACTGCAGAAACAAACCATACTCTTTCATCTATTTGGGGTAAAAAACACTAGTGTTTATATCTATTGGATCTGAGGGTTGGATCTCCAACATTCTATGAAATTACACAGCTGAGATTAGCTGATACATAAGTTGATTGAATAACTCAGTCTTAATGAGCTGAGCCTGAGCTAATTGGGTTTTGTTTGGGCTTTTGGCTCGTTAAGCTGCTCAGGAGCACTGAACTGTTAGTGTGTGTTTTATTTGCTTTGAAGACGAGCTATGCTCGAGCTGCTCGAGCCTGGGGGCTGAGCTTAAGTTGTTCATGAGCAACAAGTCCTAATCACATCTCTTGCTGAGGGCTAGTTGTAATATATGCAGTAACCTATTCAGGTATACTCTAGGGGTTTGTTCTTGCTTTTTCCTGGATCAAGTAATGCCATGATGATTTCCTACACGATCTTTTGTAGCCAATTTTAAGCCTGTAAACATTATTTAAGAGCATGCCAATTGTGGAGGCTTTCTCATTGACCTTTTTTTGTATAACCACAATCACAAATTCCAGGTAGGAATGGGTCTTTCTAACTTCTCATGCGCAAGCTTTACATTTGGAAAATATGCACTGGGGAAATTACATATCAAACTGATTTTATAAGTGAACGAACCTATATTTGATAAGAAATGACTTATACATCATTCTCATTTTCTGTTTCAGCTGAATTTTTTGATTGTGGAGAATCGACAAAGAGAAATTATAGACCCTTTGTGTGAGGGTGTGCAGAGAGAAAGCCTAGATGCTTTGCTTTCAGTTGCCATTCAATGTGTGTCATCTTCTCCGGAGGACAGGCCGACAATGCACAGAGTGGTGCAAATGCTGGAATCTGAGGTGATGACACCATGCCCTAGCGATTTCTACGACTCGAACTCGGATTGAGCTGCATTACGCTTGCTGTCTGTTAACTCCTGTTTCTTGTGAAAATGAAGTTGATACAGCGGCGTCGTTAACGCATTTTCACAATTCATTCATTCTTTCCACTGCAGTTCATGTAAATGATTGTCTGTCCCTTCTGCAAATTAGCGAGAGTCCTGTTTTTGTCAGAAGAGAATGGTGCCATCTTTAATAATTCAGTAATAGGAAATGACTAGTTCGAAACACCAGACCGCATGAATTTTTCTGCAAAACTGGATTCATTATCATGCTTTTATCGTTTGAGTGATTTTGTTTTCTCCTCATATCATTGAATGTGGACAAGGGAGATTGTTCTTCATGAGGTTTTTGTCGGGTCATCTTATGAACAAGCAGTGGAAAGTGTGTTGTATTATAAACTTCTCTCACTGGTTTCTTTACCTTTTTGCATTTATTGAAAGCCTTGTTCTGTATTTATTTTAGTTTATATGTTTTCCAGGGACTATGTCGTGATTTTGTTGGTATCGAAAGCTTCATCTGTAAGTACAGCATAGAATGATGAAAGATCACTGTTGACTAACTAGGATTATATATATAATATTTAAGAGATGAAATTGCAGATCTGTTCATTGGCTTCTATCACGGGATGCTTGCAAAAAGGACTGTTCTGCGATCTCGAGTTGTAGCTTTCGATGGATTATAAGTGCTAATTTCCTATTGGCAAACAGTGAATCCGACATAATTCCCTTTGATGATCGAGTCAGTCGGCAATTTGGAGTTTCATTCTATTATTAGGTAGCCGGAGAAGGATTCGGACCTTTAAGTGTACCTGTCGCGTTGCAACCGCTCATCACTTTACGGTTTGGATGAGTGAGCGAAAAAAGTCTTAGCGACCTTACCGTCCGGCAGGCTTCGAACGATCTCTCGGTCCATTTCTATGAGAATGAAGACGAATCGACACAAACAATTTGGATTCAGTGTGTGTGACGGTAAGAAACCCTACTTTTTTGTTAAGCTGATATAATATATTTGGGCATTCTACTTTCTTGCTTTGCGCAGATTTCTTGGTACAACCTATTCACCAGCGAGTCCAGGCCTAGCTTGTAGGAGGAGCCTGCAAACCATGGGGTCTATGGTAGCATTAGAGAGAGAAAGAGACTTGGAGGACCTCAGGGAAGGGATGAACAAACTCATAGGAAAGGATGTAACAGGAAACCAGTGCCTTTGTGTTAAAAGGCACACCACATGCTTGCGCATATGCTGCTCGGGGGTGGATGGGATTGCACTAGGTTGCTTCTCTTCTTATGTGTGGCAATCCAAGAGCTGGCTGAGATCATGGTTGAGGGACATTGGTTGTCTGCCTTGTTCGGCTATGGACATGCCTTTTTCTAATAGTTTGACCCCTTTGATTGCCGAGAGGCATGCAGCGTTCTGCAGCCTTTTTACTGTGCCTGAACTGGTGGGACTTGAGATAAACTCCTGAGACTAAGCACAGAAAGGCCATTAATTTTAATCCCTACATGTTATAGATCTTAAGCACCAACTGATGTTATTTTGCTTGCACTAGCCACTAGGCACCTCGAGATGGAGGTACCTTTTGGATATAATTCCACTCTTGAAACAAGGACAGGAGTAGGTAGATTTCTTCTTTACAGCCTAGCAACAATTAGATGTGTTGCTTTAGATATTTCCTCAGTTGCTGCATGTGGTTTGGTTGTAGTGTAAGCTGTTTGATTTGCTCAAGTTACAAGAGATGCTAGAGAATGTATAATTTAATGATAATATATAGTATGTATGATGCACAGATTCTAACTAATATTCCAGGTGTTATGGATGAGACTATGATCAGGTCAGTCACAGAGTAAGCTGTTTTTGGCGCATTGAATAGGAGTATGAACTTCGAAAAGATACCTGATAGCTATCATCTGAATCTTGACCAAGACAAAAAGAGCTCCACTTTGTCCTGCAATGATTCTTAGTTTGTTTTTTAACTTTTTTTATTAACAAGTAGTTGTTTCTCTTACAGATCTTCTTATGATTTGTGCATATGTTGTCCGTTCACCACATCATTTAATTTTGGCCATGAAACTCAAATACTCAAAGCCAGAATATATACTCTTACTACTGACCTCAATGATTTTGCTTCTTTAGCTACTGATCCAACCATGGAATTTTGGTGGCTTTATTTATTTTTCCCTAAATTTCAATTTCACTCTCAAATCATTTACTCTTATGGTTCAATTAGCTTTGTCCAACGTTTATAATGAACCACCTTGAGTTATTTGTGGACATCTTTGTTCATACTAATCATGAACCAAAACCTTTTAGTGCTGAACGTGTATGCTTGCTCTATCATTTTTTGGCGATGGTATCTTAGCAGCTGTTGAGGATAGTCTCTGATGCAAAACCAAACTTACTAATTTTGTCATAAGTAGATGAGAAACAAAAATCTTCAGGTTCTGCCACTTCACCTCTTTTTCAGGGAACTGAAATCACATGAACTCAGTTCACTCCATCATGATATTTTTTTTCTTTTCTTGTGTGAAGAGAAAACATTTTGTCATGTGTTTTGTTTACCATAACTGGCATTGTTTCTTGTTTCTTGCAAACATCTTCTTTTCAGTCACATCAGGTCAAAAAAGAGTCAGCTCAATAGGAGTTCAAACATGCATTTCCAGTTCAAAATGGCTGATTCTTAGATTTTCTCTTTATGGATTAAGATTTGGCTGACTGCCTCACATGAAGACGGCATGAGAAATATCAAGTGTTACATTATATTGCATCTCTTAGACATTCTTTTTCAATCAGACTATCTTTGTAGTTGATTGTGAATAATCACTTTAAAATAGTAGTGCATGAATTCCTTGCATCACCTTTCTAACTTTAAGGCTTAGACAGCTGAAAAAAGCAATTTGGAGATCTGGAAGAGTAACACTAGTTTCTTCTCGATTTATAGTGCTAATAGATCATGATGAGTTTCTGGCTGATCAAGTGTTACACTAGTTTTTTTTTTTTCGTTGAAAGTTGTTTCTGCTTAGGTGCATGATGAGTTTAATCATTGTAGGTGATCCCATCAAGAAACTATGATGACAGAGGAAATGGATATATTATGAGATAATCTTGCCAAATATCTTAGTAGAGTTGCTAGCAGGAATTACAACAGAAAATAAAACTTACTTTCTATTTCTTAACCATATAGCCTGGATTAGCCTTTAGAGAAACTATAGCCTGAATCACCCTGAAGGTTTGATATTCTCCTCAGAATAATTACTTGCAGCTCCAGGAAGGCAATATACTCGGCTGTTCTCTGAAGCAGTTCTTCTAATTCAACTTCTTGGCACCCTGGGATGATCTTCTTGAGCTTCTTTAGTTTCCTTGTCACCATAGCTTGAACATGGCTCTTCCCCCTCACTGGAACTGTCCCTCTTGTTCTCCTTCTCAGGGAAGTTGAGGGAACTCCCATTGTTGATGACCTATCCATGCAAGAGAAAGTTGGTGAGCCATAGGGAAGTAGGATGGAGTATAAATAGATATGAAATAAGGTGATTTTACTTGGCATTTGGGAACAATTATTAGCCTCCTACCCCATGCAAAGCTTATCAAGTCAAGTCATAGCAGTATTTGGAGCTCACCTAGATCACCAGCTGACAAGATGACATGTAGCAGCAATCAAGAGCATGCGGGCCATGCCTTCTTACTTTTAAATGGCAAGTTTGCCTAATTTATGGACCACCCAGGTAAACTTAGTGGCCAAGTGGGGATGAAAAAGTACTGACTTTGATATGATACAATGATGCCCTGAGTTTTAGCACCATCTTGACCTTTTCATCAGAGTATAATATTTGTAGAGATCTTTTAGTTTTGAAGTAGCAATTAACAGTGTCAGATCTGAGCTAAAAGCTTGTATGACAACCAATAATAGTACCTCATTCTTGTTTGACAACATACTGAGTTACAATGTGTCTATCGGATGGTTTACAAATAATTCTGAATCTTGGCTCTGCAAGTATCAAATGTTGCAAAAGACATTATCTATGTTATTGATACAGCTGGCGATGTATGCCACTGGGAATGAGGTGGTAGCCTTCTCCGGGTTACAAGACAGCAAAATAGATTTGTGGATAGGCATGATACTAAACCTCATGTGAAGCATTGTCTGCGTAGCCTTCCTGTTCATGTGCCCATCTATGTCTATTCTATAAGAATGGTTCTCTTGCTCAAACTTGGATTCATGCTGTTTGAAGATTTTCTGCAGCAGACAGACGCAACTCCTTTTCTAACAAGTTTAAGGTTTTCATGTGCATGGAAAGTCTCTCAGAACTTAATGATTGACAGCAAATGAGTACCGTGATAGAAAGGCGAATTGAAGCCATTTGGGAATACTACTTGGTATGTTGTCTATAAACGAAAGTTGATGGAATCCACCTTCAGAATATTGGAAAAAATAATCAAACTGGATATAAGTTCAAAATTTTCTAGGTTGGCTTTGGGTTATATATCTAAATATAACCTGTGTTTTGTTGAACTGCATTAATTGGTTCCTGTCTGCTTTTGGCCATGTTCTAGCCTGTCATGATCATATCTTGTGATGTATTGGGCGAGTAATACTTCAGGTGCATAACATTTGGATCTGGTTGAACCTTTCAGGTCCAAAAAGGGACAGTGGTCATCTTTATCCTCATCAGTCAAGGAGAGGGCACAAGCAAAGTTCATCTGCAACATTTGCTGAATTCACTAGTCACAGATGGGAGGCAAATCCAGCTTCCCTTTCAAGCATTGATGGAGCCTATTCAAGGTTAGTGGGCATGATCATGGGCACCCCTTGAGACATGGAAGATTGCTTTTAGACCTGCTGACAAATCTATTTAGTCAGTCAAGGTATCCCTGTGCATATATTGCTGGAATCATAAAGAATCTAATCCTACAGTATGAAATAAATATCCATCACAAACAAATATATACATAGATCCAGGATATCTTCTTTTAATAATGGCTATTCCTTCATAACAATTGGAATATATAATCCTTGTACGTTCAGTATGGGCTATTCAGCTGATCATTTAATGCACTTAAATTGCTTATATGATATCATTGCTTCCAGAAATGTAGTCAAGATAATGTTGGTATACATTGAATATGCTAGGAAGCTATAAGTTGAGTTGTGTCAGATAATCTCTTCTGCAACATTCCGAGCTTTGTTTGTGTCTGATGCTGCTGAAACAAATGAAATCAAGTAGAAGTTGACCATTCTGTGTTAACCTGATTCACTAGCATGAGGAATCTGAAGAAACTTTCTTCTAGCATAGCTTTTGAGAGAGAGAGAGAGAGAGAGAGAAGGACACGTAGGCGTTTGGTGAGGATAGGCAATGCCGAGACAAGAGGCATGTGAAAGTCCCCAGCCCCTCATGGGTTGCACCAAGTTCCATGCTCAGTGTCACCCATGCAAGGGAAGAAAACTCCCCTGTGCATGTGGGGCTTCACAAATCGGTGATAGGATGTTTGGATTTGAGCTCATAAGATTGAGCTCTGTGTATGTCGGTGGAAGAGCCAAAAGACTTTGATTTCTTAGCTTAGCAGTTGCAGACAGACCATTCCAACAGCATTATGCCTGCCATCTCCTTTCAAGAGAAACTGAGAGAGTGCTAGGAGACATGGACAATCCATCAAACATCTCCTATTTGAACTTCTTCTTCTCGTAATATGTATGGTGGTACTAAGCACTAATCATCCCCCACCTGTTTGGCTGTTGGTGTACTGCATGTTTACTGTTCCATGTGGGTGCAATACTAGGCTGTTTCAGCCAGCAGCCATGGCATGTCCTGAGAGAAAAAGTCCAAGTCCTAGATGTACATCCAAGGAAGATAAATCAACTAGTAGGGCCATCCCAACACATGGTGTGTGTTCTCCTACATCACATGTGACCACCCTTGATTTTAGCTGCAGGAGTTGTAAGTACACTGATCAGTTTGAGGTGTTTTCAACTCTAGGCTTTTGGACAGTTCAAGAACAGTGTCTCTATCAGATTCATTTCAGCACCTTCGTGTTGATCTAGCAACTCAAAGCCTGCTTTAATCTTTCCTGCTTGGCTGGGGTCTGATTCAGAAGACCACAGTAGATTTACCAAACAAATCTTAGGTTGTATTCATGAATTGCTTCACAAGTTCTTCTGGACACTCTTTGGAGGCTACTAATTCTCCTGTTTTTAACATATAGACACCAACTAAAGCTGAATGCAGAGTTCTTCACATGCAAGGATATATCTGTAATCACCTACATGATCGTGAAGACACGATGGTCTTTGCAGGAAAATTGCAACCTGCAATGGGGTCTTCATCAATAAATGGTTGAAGTAAATGCAGCAGCAGCAGCAGCAGGGAGCAAAACGCTTGCAGAGAGCAGAAGTGCTTGCAGCAGCACATGAAGCTATTGCACCAGATGACACAGAAGCCAGCAAGAAGAAGTCACTGAAAGAGCGCGCAGTTGCCACTGCAGCTGCTTTAGTCGCAGCTCAATGAGCCCAATTTGCAGAAGCTGTGGGGTGCAAAGTGTCAGCATGTCTTCAGCTATTTAAGAAGCTTGCCACAGAGCAAGTAACATCATCAATTAGCTACTACCGCAGCAACAAGTAATCTCAATAGCGTTACCTATTCTATTTGAAGCGTACATAGACTCATAAAAAAGTACTATGATATGAACGTAAATATTTTTCTCTGCTAGCAAATTTTGTAGGTAAACAATAAGCTGATGCCATCCCAGCTTGCAAATGTAACGCTTCTTTTTTGTGTCAGCAATGGAAGGTGTAGTCACACGCAAGAGGAAGACAAGATCACCAGAAAACAAAGGGGAGTTCACCTACACTTCCTTCTGATGAGTTCAACTTGACAATGGGAGGTGCAGGGCATTACTCGCAAAGGGTGATGATGATGATATCCTTGTTGCATCACCAGATGGTAAATAACATGATACAGTTCTGATTTCATTTTCTGTTCTTCTATGAAATCCAGCTGAAGCTCAATCATATCTATAACAAATCTGGTGATGACCCCAGGAATCATACTTGACATTTACTGCCACCAAAAAAAGCTTCTACATCCTAAATTTATTAGCTTCTTTTGAGATTGATATTAACATGTCAAACCAGCTGACCTGGAAAAATGGGGCCTCAGATATAGCCCTTCATCATTCTCTAGCCTCCACTATCAACAGTCAAACATCTCAAATAGTTTGCTTCACTTTATTCACTGTTGAGCTACTCAAAGTAACTTACTAGAATGTTCTCCTTGATAACTCTTATATTTATTATTTACAGCATTTTCTCAATTTCTGATAGATGAATTAGTGACTAATGATGTCAAATGCCCAAAATCCAACTAGAAATAGCAGAGATGGGTTTTATGGTCAGTCAAACAATTCATCATCAGTTAGTTTTCTTTTATGATGTTGCTCATATTCCATATTGTTTCCTCTTCATGTTTCAAAGCAGGTAAATGCAGATTTAGATCAGCAACAGCTCTCTTAAACAAGGATGCCAATATAAAATCAAGAAGAATGCAAGTTGAATATTTCCTGCCTCACTGTGCCACATAAATCCATCTGGTTGGTTCTACATAATGCAGATACTGTATATGAGCCTCTCCAGGTTGCAGGTGGATCCTATTGCATTGAGCAAAGGGAAGTTTAAGACACAAAAATGAATGACTACAGCAGACAAGCTGAAATTTTCATGTTCATAACAATGATAGCAATAATCAATAATGTATCTAAAATTTTCTTCATACATGTGAGTATCACTTACATTTTTCTGATAAAACAGGTTTGTTTACATGAAAATGAAATAGAGCTATTATTCTTGTTTCATGATTGTTTCTTGAATCCAAATTGTTTCTGAACTCTCAAGCTACCATCTTTTGCAATTCAATGTTGTCCTCTTACATGTAGCAATTCAAATGATTCAAGGATTCCATGCACATCAAAATAACACACGTAGCTAAGACAACTTCTCTGATGTCACAGCATTCTATCACTCGGACTCATCAAAGTCAATGACGCAGGGCTTCTTCGTCCTCGTAGGTCAACAACACTAACTAGCATCACCTATCAAGAATCGATGAAAGGAAACAGCGCCCTGCCGAGTGGCAGACCCCAACACACACGGATCTGATCCCTCCCCATCCATTTCTTGCAGAAATGAAAGCAGCTTCGGCTGATATGGTGGTTGGAGCAGTGATGAGATCACAAGAACAGTAACTCTAGAATTGAAAGCAAACACTGCCCCTCTCTCTCTCTCTCGACCGAATCCGAGAGGACTTTGTTTGCAAGCCTAGCTTCGTCTCCGCCTGTGTTGTCACTTCTGCCGTGGATGGGCATAGTGATCATGAAGCGGTGGGTGGTCGTCAAGTCTCGCAGGGATTCTCTGTGCCCTCGAATAATTACGCCTAGCGTAGGCCGAGCTCGCTAGGGCACAGAAATCTTAAAGAAAGCAAGAACGGAAAGGAAAACCTAGAAAGCTACACCACAGCGCGCAGGCTTTTGGGAAGATCTGCTGATTGTTTCGCCTCAACTGAGCAAAAGATTTGGTCGCGAGCGAGCCGATTGGATCTGACGAAGGGAGGGAGACGCAAGTAAACCTCCGCCACACCACAGTGTCTGTGAAGGGATGCATGCATGCACATGCAAGGTGGCCGAGAGTCTTACGTACGTCGACTGCATAACCATACCACATATTAACCCACACATCGAAGTCAAAAGAGTCTTCCATCTCATGAAAAGAACAGCACAATGGCACTGCCGCAGTTTCCGATGGCGTGCAAAGTCCACAGTTATTGGCTTTCTTTCCTCCTATAATTCGCATATGACACATCTCCATCTCAAGTTGCGTGAGTTAGCAGCTAAGAGATGTGGTATTTTGTGATGTGGAAGTAACACTAACCACAGCTGCTGCACGAGACTGCACCTCTCATCGGTACTTTCCCCCACTGTGAGCTACTGTAAGCATTGGTTGCTGGTTGTGTCACGTTTGACTTCATTGTCTGTGGAGTGGAGGGTGGGAAAGGCTGACTCTTTTTCTCTGCGGCAGGTAAAGGAACACAGATATGGGAATGTTAGGATAACTCTTCTATCGCATCACATCAATCCTCACGGTGTTGTTTTCCTATATAAGACGACTCCATCCCTCCACCATGCACTACAGCTTTTGCCATTTTCGAGTGCCTACGGTTGGGAAGAAGCAACATGCAGTTTGCCTCCGGCTGCAGCCTCTCTTCTTCTTCTTCGCCTGCTATGATGTGTTGCTGGAGATGGAGAGCTGCTTCGTTTTGGCCTCCTGGCTTTGAATGGTATCAAAGGAGGAGATCGAAGGGTTTAAATGTCAGCTGTGCCACTTCTAATGGGTGCTATCCTTACCGAGCTTTTCTCTCTCTTTTTTATTTTTATTTATTTTTTTCATTCATCCTCTATATATGATTTTATTTTTATTCAATATTGAAAGGATTGCATGTCATTTTCTTGACCTTGCAAGACTTTCTGAACATGAGATTAGATTTCTGGCCGCTCTCTACTCCGTTTTAATTTACTTTGAATTTTTTTATTTTTGTGAATCCCTTCTTCTTTCGCCCTTCTTTCTATCCCTTCTGAGCTTTAGTTTCATGATATGAGAACTTTGCATTCAACTATTTGTTAGATGCTTCAGTCTTTTTTTTCTTTTTTATGTAGTGATATTTTTGTTATTTTTTATGTCTACTTGATTATTATTTTTTTCCACTTTTGGATGGTTTTCTTTTTTCTGGATATCTCTCCAACTGAAGCATGTTAGATCAGTAGTTGAATCTGCAGTGAGAAGATTTACCAGCATTAGAGCGTGGAAGTGGTGAGTTAGCTGAGAGATGCAATTGCTGTACTTGTAATCTTAGGTGGGTTTTAGCTATAACCAGCCATTATCTTGCTTGTTGAGCTTCTATGGCTACACTCACTCAAAGCACTATTTCAAGTTGCTTGCAATGAATTCCAAGGTTACAATGTTGTGATGGTTCACTCACTTCCAACGTGGTAAATGTTCGTATAATTGTGTTTGGCCTCACTCCATACATCATCAGAGTATAAAGATTGATGCATGTATGGCATCCCAAAACTTTGAAGCCAAACATTGCTGATTCACAGCGGCAAGAATTGCATTTTGATGGTTGCAGCAAAGCTGAGCTCAATGACGCAGCAGCACAATAAGAACTGTGAACGAAGCAACTAGCAAAATGCCGTACATATACAGCACACCAAAAGCACAAGACAATCTATTCACAGATAATAAGAATATATCTATGTATATAGAGAAAGCTCCGAGTCCTTTGGCACTTCATCAAACCATTCACGCAATGCAGCAGCAGAAGAGGAAGACGTGACGCGGCCATGCACCAATTCAACTGCTGTCGGCAATATGGCTTAAGGCAAAAAGACACGATCTCCCTCTGCCCTCCCCTTGAGAGGCCGATCGCCTCAAAGACCTCGAGCATCTCATCAGGCATGAGCTCGTCTCAGGAACTCCCATGCAGAACGAGGAGGAACCCAGAGGAGGGATCCGTGTGCAGTGGAAGTCTGGCTTGCAGAGCTGAGTGGCCATGGGAGTAGTAGAATCCGATCCGTCCGCGGCTGGGCACGTGGCGCAGAGAGACAAGGAGAGGCTCGTTCTTGGCAGCTCCCTCATTGGGCTCATCCCTGGGATCTTGGCAAACGATACGATGGCGTGCCGGCAGAGGGGGCAGGGTATTGATCCCGGCGGAAGAGACAGGATGGTGGATGTGCTGTTGGTGGAACACAGGTAGAGAGCACATCTGGTGCAGAACTCATGATTGCAACCTGCGATGTGAGAATAATTCTGCTATCAGTATGCTACAGTTTCAAAGCCAAAGCTTCTTTGTGCCTAACAGATGCATTAGCCAAGTCTTGGCACCATTTCTATCCATGAATTGGACTACAGGTGGACAGAGATTGACTTGTAACATCAGCTAATGTAATCTTGTTCGTAGTCAGCAAATACGACTAATATGTTAATCGACGACAGTTTGTTATTAATTACTTACGACTAACATATTTATGGACAACAGTTTGCCGCTCATAGTATCATTAACAAATAATTGTGACTTACAAGTAATATATCTATCGACAACAGTTTGATAAATAGTTATGACTTACGACTAACATGTTTATCGACAACGGTTGTCGCTTATAGTATCATTAAACTTACGACTAACATATTTATCGACAACAGTTGCCAGCTTTAGGAATATTATTAACAGTTTATGGCTTAAGGAGCAAATAGTTGTGACTTACGACATGTTTGTCGCCAACAGTTGCCACTCATAATATCATTAATAAATAGTTGCGACTTATGACTAATATGTTTATCGACAATAGTTTGCGGCTTCTCTTACGACTTACATACAACAATAGTTTGCGACTTTAGGAGTATTACTAACAAATAGTTACGACTTACGATTAATATGTTTATCGACAACAGGTTACGATTTTAGGAGTATTATTAACAAATAGTTATGATTTACGACTACCATGTTTGTTTATCGACAATAGTTTACGGCTTTACGAGTATTATTAACAAATAATTGTGATACTTACGGGTAACATGTTTGTTTATCGACAACAGTTGCCGCTCAGAGTATCATTAATAAATAGTTGTGACTTACGACTAACATGTTTGTTTATCGACAACTGTTGCCACTCAGAGTATCATTAACAAATAGTTATGACTTACGACTAACATATTTGTTTATCGACAACAGTTGTCGCTCGGAGTATCATTAATAAATAGTTGTGACTAACGACTAACATGTTTGTTTATCGACAACAATAGTTGCCGCTCAGAGTATCATTAATAAATAGTTGTGATTTATGACTAACATGTTTGTCGGCAACAGTTTGCGGCTTTAGGAGTATCATTAACAAACAGTTGCAATTTACAGGTACATTCATAAACAAATCATTCAGCACAAAAGAATTAGTTCGAGTAAAGTGTCATGATCAACCTAATGTGATAACTGATTCATTAACTTAGTAACAATAAACCCTTATGTTCAGTTAATAGATCAACTTAATCAGACTCCAAAATGCTTAACCTAAAGATAATAGTACACATCCTGTCCTATATATCAACTTAATCCTACTTGAATGGTGACTTTGCATGATGTATGTATCTACAGTTTGGTTCACAAATAATCCTCTCTTGATCCATTAAATGTCATCATCTGACATCTGACCCAATGTGAAAATTGACTAATTAAATCCAAAAATCTGAAACTACATGATTCACTTCAATCTATTGAAATCTTCATATCTGAGTGATCAGGTAGGTCCTGACTGAAAGCATTATTAGTACATGGAATCTGAAAGTTTCAGAGATGTGTACCTTCAGCAGCAACTGTGCATCTTCTTTCCAAGCAAACAACACATGGATCAATGCATGCAGGCGACTGGATTGTGCTTCTCCAACCAAATTCTCTGCAGGAGATTAGATAATTAAAATAAAATACATGAAATTTAGCAAACAACCAAAACAAAAAAAAAAAGTACAGAACACTTACCTAGCAATCCTCATGATGCTCATAAGGGGAAGAGACATATACGGGGAAGGAAGGATCTTTACGCGATGATCTGGTTGATTACTTAAGATGCCCTCAAGCCAATTTCTATGCCATGAACGGGCTACCATCAAAGGAGTCCAACTGTTGAGCAAAGCAGCACTATATAAGATTATCCATGCTTTCCAATTTGACAGAGAGATGGAAATAAGTTGAACATAAGATAGAAGTAAAACAGTAAAAATGGGTAAGAGAAGGCATCAAGTTGCAGTATATCTAGAGAGCCAGCATCAGCTTATGCCATCAATCGGCAATGATATGGTTGACACTAAAGGATCCCCAAGGAAATACATGGACAATTCTTCAGAGTGATTAAGAGAAGAAAAGAATATTGAATATGGTTGTTTGATGACTAAAAAAAGAGCTGGGATTAAACAAGCTAAATTTTCAGAAACAACTAAGAGCTCAAGCTTATTTATTACATTAGGTAGGCTACTTAACAAATGCAATGGATCAGTATATATTTTGTTATTGTTAACTATGTGCTATGTACTTCCCCTTACTATCTTTGAAGAATTAACAATCGGCTTGAGCCATAAAAGAGGATAATTGAAGTCCATATGGTCAAACAAGGTGTCAACACAACAAAATTCTCCAATGTATAGTCAAGTTTGGCACTTCATTGGATAGGGTGCAACAGAAAATCAACTGATTCAATCCCCCTTTTAATTACCATGGAAATGTATCATCTATTTGCACTTTCATCAGGATTTGATTAAAGTCCAGAGAGTCAGACAAGGTATCAATCCTGAAATGAATTTTGCCAACTTGTTACTTAGATTAATTAAGAACAGAAATTGCAGTTGATAAAGCATCTAATTAGTCCTGCAGATTCTAGCTCTAACTAAAGTTTAAGTTCCATATCAACCTAGAAAGCTTTTATCATATCAGATACATACCCATTCGAGTTTTCAGCATCCAAACTAGCTCCTCTGGCAATAAGAACCTGAATGCCCACATCTAATAAGTAACCACAGTAATTAGCATACCAACAGACAAAACCAAATAGACATGAAACCAACTTACTTCACAGCAAACTGCACTTCCACCACAAGAAGCATAGTGGAGGGGCGAGCTTCCAGCACCTGCAAAATGAGTTTATTATACTTGTTAAGCTAAACGTGACATCAATATGGTCACAATTTGTTCATACATCACGCATTAGCTCTATAATTTGCAATATGGAATAAACTTGCATTGTTCTAAATTATCGATATCTTTGATAGCTAGATCAGGTTAAAAGATATGGTAATTGAAATCGGTAGTGAGAATTATCACTCTAATACGCTGAAGTACAATACAGTGTACAGAAACCTTTTATTGCAAAGCAAGAAAATTCAGAACTACTTCTTTCTCATGGTATTCAAAAGTGATGACTGGAATTTGAGAACCGAATGGAAGCAAAGAAGGAAAGACTGAAAGCAACAGAGAGCACTCCGTATAAATGAGTTTACCCATCAATCCATCAGCTAAGTGTAACATTTCTTTTCCACATCATTTGCAACTAGTTCCTACACATCTCCATAACCTTATACAAAAACCAGTATTGTCTTCCTTTTAAGACATGTTAATAGTATGTCCCATCTTAGCACAATTAAAAAATGAACCTCCATCAAATCTCTCCTCCAAATTATGTGCTGGAAGTGCAACAATCACAAAGACATCGTTTGGCTGGTGCAGATTCTGGAATTAGTTTCCCACAGTGCTAGCACTGCATTATGGGTAATGCTCAGTCTCATCTACAAGCATCAGCATGTAGTTCCTCCATGATCAAGTAATTATGACTTGTCTTTCTTTAACCTTGTTTCTATCCAGTGACTAATGCTTCCTTTATGCAAAAAAAGTCATCAACACCATCAACTTATAAAATTTCTGTGTATATCTCAGGTGAATTATTATTTTACTGCAACTTGTGAGACCTTAGATGCAATATCAGATTATACGCAATTGAAAGCATTATATGCTTCATGAAGTTCTTGATCTATTCTCATGAACCTAAACTCCCAGCCATATCTACTATGACTACTCTGTTCTGTGCACGAACTTTCAACACTTCCTCATATGCCAAGTATCTATCAACCTAGAATCTAACATATGCACCCATCCATAACCTTGATCAGGAAAATATGAAGTTCCTTTTGTATGGCAGAAACATTAAACATAAGCAATAGAAGAAAAAAGTTTAAAGATAAAAATAACCACATAAAAGCACGCAAGATAACCACACAGAAATATTTTAGAAAGATTTTTGTTGTAGGAACTAAAATACAACAACAGTTTGTTATGACAGCACAAAGAAAGGTCCAAATGGAACATCTCATCTTATCATGAGCAGAGAACTATATTACATGAGCACATAAATAATGCCTAAGACAGACAGACAAATGAAAACAACCATTATCATTTACAAATTTTCCTGAACAGGTTAAAACTTAAAGACTATTTGCAATAAAAGAATGTGAAAAAGAAGAAATCATCCCTCCTAAGAATGTTAGCGGCCTTTGTGTGAATTAAAATGATAGGAAGTGAATTAAGTAGTAGGCCCACTTAGGTTAATACTAGGGATGTAAGGATGGATCTCACAACCAAACAATACCAGTTCTCATTATTCCAAAACAATATGAACAAGCCCAAATTTTCTTGGTAGGCATGTGGTCACATATGTCGAGTACCTCTTCCTACCTAGCTATGGATCAGCTACATGGAAACTTCTTCTTTGCAATTGAACTGTTGAGTGCAACATAAATAATTAAAACTAAGAGCCAGAAAATCCTTTTTATTGTTTCCCAAATATTATGATTATATCTCCATCTTCCAAAGCTCTCTAAAATGGGACTAGCATGCATCATTCTAATAAAATCATGATTCTAGAACCATAACCAGTGGTATGCTAACGAGAATAATTTAAAACAACCAGAGTTACTAGAAACAAGAACTGACATGCAATTAGAGAACCTAGACACACCAGTGCTGTAGAAGGATTATAACTGAAACAATAAGTTTAACAATGTCCACATAGATACTGGCAATTCCAAGATATCTGCAACTAGTTTAAAAGCAGCAACCACATGACTGTACAAGAGACAACTAAAGGTATGAAGCTTTTGGGTGGAATCTTAAAGTGACCAAGAATGAGGATGACAACAAAAGAAACAAACCTATCAGATCAATTGTTGACCCGTCTTCCACCGTGACCTGGGAAACAGAAGCACCCAAGTCTAAGAGTAAGTGCATAGTCTCTGCATGCCCATTTAATGCTGCCATATGAAGTGCCGTGATGCCTCCATCTGCCTTTTGGTTAACTAGTTTAGACAAGGAACTGCCAAATACCAGTAGAAGATATAATTTTTTTTCTAATAAAGATTTAGAGAATGTCCATAAGGATAAAAATGTACCTCTTGTCAAAGTCGGGAATAGAGGATTCATGGGTTGATTTTCCCCTCATCATATTCCAAAATTCAGGTATGCTTGGAACATAGTCGGTAAGGAGAAGACGGACGCAACGAGTGTGCCCATTCAGAGCTGCCAAGTGGAGAGCTGTTCCACCATTGAGATAATCTGTTCTGTGAATCTATCATACAATTTCCGAATACTACCTGAGAGTTATTATGAGACCACCATGGAACAAAGAAACAAAAAAACAAGCACCATGGGAGAAGAGAAAAAGAAAAGCAACTTACATTAGCTTTGAAAAGCATAAGAGTCTGAACAACCTCCCAGTGACCATATTGACAAGCTTGCATTAATGCAGTCTGCAACAGAACACAATTGTTGATAGTAATAAATGTGAAATTTAAACTTTTTCCCCTTCCTGAAGACAAAGAATGTACACTAACTAATTTCAACATCCACTTTTCCAGAATAAAAGATCACCAGATATTTAACAAGTTTCCGGCCATGTAACACACAACAAAACAAGAACAATCAGAGGGATAAGGATCTAGGTTTCACCTGTCCGCTTATGTTCCTTAGGTTAATGTCAACTCCAGATTCGATCAAAAGAGAGACAATCTGAAGACCAAATGACCAAATAAGCTTCTACAGAAGCCATAGATTGACATAAATTCTGATAAAAGACATCAAATTGAACAGGAGCCTGTGAGAAATTACCTCATGGTGGCCCTGAGCTGCAGAATAATGAAGGGGTGAGTTCCTAACACCAAAGGTCGAGTACCGGGCAAGCCGGGGATTGTATTCCAGCAGCGCTTTGGCCTCCTGAAGGTCCCCATCTCTTGCCGCGGAGACCAGTCTCTCCCCTGATGCAGAGCACCCGAAGGAATTCCCCATAATACTTAGAAACCCCATAATCCCCAAAAGCTAGCAACCAAATCGGAGAACAATGGACAAAAAATCGCTACTTTTTTTGTGGCAAGAACACCTTTCTAAATCCACCAAGAGCAATCTAATAGAAAACTATCAGGATGGGGAGATTACCACCCAAAACAATCTCCACCAAGATTCAAGAACTCAAAGACCAAGAAAAGAACAAAAGAATCCTTCTGATGACTATAAAGACCCCTTTTTTACGAGGAAAATGAGAGCTCGAACGCGAATCCCCCACCATTGGCATGCATCATCGAGAAAGCATGTCCCCAATCGCCATCCTTTGTCGCCCGGGCCTGCTTCCAGATGGGATTCAACCCAAAGACGACGCCTTTTTCTTGGCTTGTTGCAAGGAAAGAACAATGGAATACCAAACGGCGCTTACAACAAGAGGAAGGAATAATTGTTTAGAACAACAAGGACATAGGAATGGTAGAAGATATTATATATATAGGATGAGAACACAAGAAAATAAAGAAAAAGGCCACAAGAGGAATGGAAAGGAGAAGAGACGGGAAGGGAAGGGAAGGGAAGGGAAGAGAAGGGAGAGAGAGGGGAAAAAAAGGAAAACGGGGGAAGCAAATGGTAGAGAGAGAGAGAGAGAGAGTTGATATTGCAAGCAAAATGATCCTGTAAAGGAAAGCACGTCTCCATGATCGGCGTGGACAGCACCAACTCAAGTCAAATTGCCTGGGTCAACTCCTGTTTTCTCCAGTGAAGATATAGGAAGGTTGACATATATCTGTAGATCCCGACAACAGTCAACTCCTATTGAATCACCCAAGAAACGGTTCAGGGTTGACGTGGTCTCTCGCTCACGAGGACTGTGCATGGTTTAACAACAACCATTGTACTTATCAGCGGTGATTCAGGCTGCCTGCAGACTAACTTGTCTTTCCTAAGAATAAGTAGAGGATTTAATATACATATATATAAGAAATCTTGGGCATTGATAAATCAAAAGAATATAGGATAAATATTGATGATACATATATCATCAATAAAGATTTCGAGGGTTACATTTTTCATGGGAGTGGGGCATGATTGTGCCTGACCACATCACCCCTGAAAATTTTGAAGGGTGAGATATCCCCTTTGAGTGATGTCCTATAAGCAAATGTATGGAGATTTATAAGATAAAAAATACATATATATATATATATATATATATATGTATATATATAATGCAGGTTAGTTTATATACTTAGGTGCGATATTTTATCGTGATCACATCTAGTGTCTCATATTTCCCATTCACCTGGTTCATGATTAATTACAGATTATTGAACATCATCATATCTTAGACTTGAACCTGTCATGTGAGCTACAGCTATGAGAGAATTGTCTCATACTCAACTTCGTTATTAGATATTTTAAACTCAAATCGAAGAGCTTGCTTATACACTTGTTTGTTCGAGCCTTTGAAAGCGAGTTCGACGCCGCCTCCCTCCGAGGTGACAGAGTCATCCACAAACAATGTCCTTGTAAGAGGGGCGTGCTTGTTAATCTTGGACGAAGGAGAAGTTAGTTCTAACATAAAGTCCATCAATGCTTAGGCCTTTATGATAATCATTGAGACATCGGACATCGAATATTCCTTACATTCAAGACTAGCACAAATGTGAGCCTTTTAATATAGGGTACCACTTCTCGGATCTACTCAGAATATGACTAGTATAGTAGATGAGCCATTAAACTATTGTTTCATTTTGTACCAATACCAAACTGATAGCTAAGTTGGTGGTAGCGAAATAAGAGGCTTAGAATATCACTAAAGTTAAAGGAAGTGAACTGTGTGGTAACTCGGTGATATGATCCTTCCAACTTCTCAAATGCATCTTGACATTTCTTGATTCATACTAAATCCTTCAAGTTTTTCAATGCCCAAAAGAATGGCAAACACATATCATCAAATTAGGATAAGAATTGATGGAGCAGTGCTAGTCAATATATTAATTATTGAACTTCTTTTACCGACTAAGTTGGATGCATCTCTAATATGGCTTATACGTTCTCGAGGTTTACATTTATTTCTCTCTGATGTATGATAAACTTGAGGAACTTCCTCGAGTTAACTTCAAAGACATATTTGATTAGATTGAGGCACATGTTAAACTTTTTTGGAATTTGAAATATCTCAACCATATCTACCAAATATGAGTTGGTCGTCTTGCTCTTCACCATCATGTCATCCACATAAGCTTTAACATTTCTTCCGATCTGATGCTTAAATATTATATTCACTATTCTTTGGTATGTTGATCTTATATTTTTTAACCCAAATGACATGACTCGATATAATATATATTATAGTTTATGATAAAGGTAATATGTTCTCGATCCTCCAATACTATTCTGATTTTGTTATACTATGAGAATGCATCTACAAAGGTGAGGAGCTCATGACCTGAAGTAGCATCAATCAATTGATTAATTCAAAAAATGGGATAGTTATCCTTTGGGAATACTTTATTACGATCAGTACAATCAACACACATCTTTTAGTTTCTATGAGATTTTTTTAACGAGTACAACATTGGCGAGTCATTGGGTTACTACACCTCGGTAATAAACTCTACTCCTAACAACTTATCCACCTCACCAATTGCTTGCTGGTAGTTAAGGGCAAACTTACGAGGCCTTTGCTTTATTAATCGTATCTTAGGAAAAATATTCAAATGATGCTGAACTAAGTTAGGGTTGATTCTCGACATGTCTCTCGGTGACCATGTGAATATCTTAGAATTTTTCTAGAGGAAGTTAATAGGCTACACTTGATTCTCCTCAAGAAGGGTCGCTCTAACCTTAATAGTTCAGATAGGTCAGGCTTTGTCTATAGGTACCTTGATCAGTAGCTCTATTAGCTCGAGATGTAGGGCGGACCTAATCAAGTCTCGAGGGTCCATAGGTGGTGTCTTGGGTCGGGATTTCTTCAGCAGAGAGATCACTATTAGGTAGTAATAGCATAACTCTCTTGGCTTGCTTTTCAGCTCTCCAATGCTAGCTCTCATTAGGAATTTTATCATCATATGGTAAGTCGACACCATCGCCCTTAGTATACTTAGTGTGGGTTGGCCAATGATCACATTATATGTCGAGGGGATATCTATTATAATGAATTTAATCAATATTGTATTAGAGCAGGGGTTACCTCCAAATGTGACATATATATTTATAGTCTCGAGAGGCAAGATAGAGTTATTGGTGAACCCCATCAGTAAAGAAGTTAGCGAGGTAAGATCGTTGGTTGACAACCCAAGTTTTAAGAAAATATCAAAGTAAATGATATTAGTAAAGCTATATGTGTAGATCATGACCCTTTTCACCCAAGTGTTGATCATCCTTATAGATACTATTAAAGCATTATCATAATTTTGGTCAAGGTACTTTACCTCTTCCATTTTTAAAATTATTTTCGAGTCACCCTCTATCCTCGAGAATTTTTTAGTGGTGGCTCGAGCATAAGCCTTATGGACCGAGGGGTTATCTCTCCATAGGGTTGGTCCACTAATAATAATATCAATTTACCTCTCTACTAGCCCCTGAGATTAGGGTGAGAGTTCTCAATGTTTTCAGATGAACTACCCTAGGTGTCCTTGATGTTTGAGCTTTTAAATTTGCTCTTTCAAGTTGTGACAATCTTTAGTGTCATAGTTGTAATCTCGATAGAACCGATAGTTCTTGGACTTATCTCTTTTCGTCAATGGGGTATTCGTTGGGTGGGGGTCTCACAAGAGCATTTTTTTTTCTTTTATATGGAGGAAAACTTTAGTTCTAGTTATATTTAGATGGGTCAGCTTAAACCTCTAACGAGATAGCTTTGGTCGTTTATTTCTCTTCTATCAAGGTGACCTCGGGATTAGGGCTGATTGTGGCTACTTCTGCTTTGGCCTTTTGTGTGACTCTTTATGCTTGCTTAAGACCATTGTCTCGGCGACAATGTATTGATTGGTCCTTTGAAATATTTTGGGTACAATTGCTAGTAGTTTTTCTATCAATAACCAAAAGAGACGAGAGAGCCTAAGTCCCATCATGAAGGTCTATATAATAAATGAACATCTAATATACCTCATATCTTATTCGCAAACTAAGTGATAAAGTTTGTAAGCATTTCTTCTTCCTGCCACCTAAGTCCAAGGAGTGTTGCCACTGAAGGCCAATGATGTACGTTCCTAAGAAAGTGAAGTTCAAACTTCTTCACTAGCTGTGCGAAAGAGCATATATAAAGTAGCTTTGAGTGAGTGTATTGTTCTTATGCTAGGCTTGGTCGGGAAGGTATGATATATTAGGGTGTTTGAGGTGTCATATAATGACATTTGGGTATAAAAAATTATAATGTTCTCTATCAGATCAGATCGATATTATCGTTAAATACCTTCAAGGATTGGAGATGGGAGATGAAAGTTTTCTAAAATTAGTTCCCCCTAGATGTTTTAAGTGAACAGTGATTGACCCAAGGTGGGGTTAATATGTGCTTCCCCTTTTGATTGTTGGAGCGTTCATCGTATCTCATCTAAATGTCGATCCATCTGTTATAGCTGGATCCGTAGGAACTCCTCTATTGAGTCTACTGATTGGGCCTTGGATTCAGGTGGGGTAGACTGAGAGTGGTGTGATCCGTTGAATTCCATGATCATGGACTATGGTGCCCCCTTAGCCAACGATTCGATAGACCTCAAGCGCTCTTGGAATGTTAACATCACATTGGGTTGGGGAACCTTGACGAGTGTCGGTGTAGCTGGGGATTGAGGTGAGCTGGTGGCACCACCCATTGGGCTTATATCAAGCCTGATAGCATATGCACTTGTTAAATGAGGTTTAAGAACACATTAACAGGGATGAGTAGGTGGATTAAGGCCATTTTTAGAGGTGAGAGACTTGAGTCATTGAATAGGCTTAGTAACTCATCTATGTCTACATCGAAGTGGATGCACTAATGTACAAAAATGATAGCTGCTACTCCCCTTAGTGAAATTACTTTGGGTTGGGGGAAAAGCCTCTTTACTCAGGTGTTCATTGAGAGGATTGACGAACGGGTGTAATATCGGGCTATTCTTCTAGCATTGAAAATGTTATGAGAATGTGTCATTGACATCTTGATCTGCTTGACGTAATTTTGACTCGTATGCACAAGATTGTCCGAAGTGTGGTCGAGGTGTTTCCGAGATAGAAACATCGAGTTCCAAATGTGCCACTTGTACGAAGATTAAGGTTTAAAAAGGTTTTCTAACTCGATCTATTTCATATTCAAGTTAGTAACTCAGATAGATGGGTATCATAACCTCCAATAATTATGTTAAAAAGGAAACTTTTATAACTGATAGTGAATGAATAAGATATTTTATTAAATATTATTTGAGAGAATAATCTTTAATAGTCTTTAACAATGTTGTTATCATCTAAAACATTGTTTTCAGTGTAAGAGATCATTAGGAAGAAAAGACCACTGTGGAGTATTTCCAGATAAAAAATTGCAGTGTTTTCTGTATGGAATTGAACTTAAAGATGGCAGGGAGGAATCTGCTGCTCTTCTGAAGAGGAATGAATGATACAACAGAAGATAGAATGTGTGATGTTGATGAACACACTGTTCCTGTTTGGTTCAAAGTTTCATATTGAGACTGCTCGATTCAAGGAAAGGAAAATACTTGATGGATTCAAATTAATTATATTTCAAGTTGCAAATAGGTTTGACTTCAGATAAATTTCTTCATCTTTATGAGGAAAAAAAAGAAGAAATCAAGTAAAAAATTTGAGTTTTTTTGCAGACACTACCAAGAAAGCAAGTAAATTTTCGAGTATCAAATTGCCTTCTTGAAAACCATCTAATATTTTGGTGACAATTAACTTCCTAAATTTCTCATCATAATATTAATGAGTCCATCTCACCATATCAATGAGTTTTTATTCTTACATCTGACAGAATAAGATATAGTAACCAATTGATGAGCATCCTTTGTGACAGAATATTATCATTATTGTTATTTCTGTGAACTACTTTTTGTTGCTCACATGATATCTGTAGCCATTGAAGGAGGTAGGGATCCTTTGTGATGCAGAAAATAGCTGAGGAACTCAGAGGCAAATCCATCTTTTCCTACTTGCAGAACCACATTGTTCATGCTTTAAAGGTCATGAATTGGTCCAACCATGCATGGTTTCTTGGGTGGGTCTGTGGATTCAGTAAACACCACACACTGTCTTGGAAGATCAAGAGAGACAGCCATATAAACAAAGATGAGGACAGGGTAGCCAATCCCTTGGACAGCTTTCGTTTTCTGTCCTTTGTTTCATCACATGATCATGAGTGTGACAAGTCTACTGGTCCATTAAATGGTTGTAAAGACAGGCTTACAAGATTCAAAGTTAAAGCTGAGTTCTGAATCTGAATTTGAAGTAAATGTTTGCATCTCATCTGCTGCATGAGACATGTGTTCTTTTCTTTCTTCTCTTTCTAAGCTGAAAAATCTTGACTTCAAGAAATCAAGTCTAGTGAGATTGAAACTAAATGATAAAGATAAAGTGCACTTGGAAGAGAACAAGAACTTGGATCAGCACTGACAGAATAAGACTTGTTATTAACAAGAATACAAGTCTCCTTTTCAGAAACCATATAGATGGAAGCTTCAATAGCATTGGAAAAGGAACCACTGTGGCTATCAACTGACATCGCTTGTTCTTCTTCACCTAAAACAATGCCACACTCATGGAATTACAAGTTAGCTATACTTCAAATCTAAATGATAATCTTGTTGTACCCTCCTAGGCTGACTGATACTGGAATTTAGCAAGAACTGTTTTCTTATTGGAATTCAGATACTTTGTGGGTGAGTGAAGTAGATTCTTTACTGATCTTTCTCTTAAACAAATCAATGGCAACCACAAAATTCCATTTAAATGTCAGCTTTGTGTTGAAGACTCCATGATCCCATAGCACACAAGGCCTCCCATGAGACCCCAATCCTCCTCCTTGCTCAAAAGCCATGAGCTTTCTCACCCCCAGTTATGTATGCATTACACAGTGGTGAAGAGGAAGATGAACTGCCATGATCTCCATCTCCAGTCTCATGATCATGTGTTGAACAAGTACCATTAGGCGAAGAACTTTACATGTATAAACACATTCAATTCTATTTGACCAGCTGGGGGCCTTTCTTGTGGTGGTCTTACCTTCCCTCCCTGCACAGTAATCAATTCTTGTTTATCAGGTCCCATCAGCTGTCACCTCTTCATTTTTTCCTCCCATTAAGGATCACATCTTCCTAAATTGACCTGCAAATTCTGCTTCTCTTTCCTTGCACCACCACAGAGATCAAGTTCTGTGAGCCTAAAGTGCTCAATTCAGAAGAGAATGACAGGGGAATTTGGAGATAAAGATGATCCAATTGAGCTGCAGACAAGATAACAAAGGCCTGGTGAGTCTTATCTTTCTCTTTTCTTTCAATCTTTGTGCCTTTGCCAATACCAAAACATGGACTGGGTCTTGCATGAAAGCATCAAAGGAGGGGACTTTTCTTCCCCAATCCCACTCCCATTACCAGTCCCACCACCTCCTCCTCCTGTTATTAATTCTGAGAGAAGGATTAATCTTAGTATCCTTATCATATTTCTCATACTAGCAATCATCTTCTTCATCACTGGGCTCAACCACCTCCTTGTGAGATACCTTCTCAGGCCTACCAACAGGGAGCGAGAAGACTTGAACAACGTTACAGCACTGCAAGGATAGCTGCAGCGGCTGTTCCATCTCCATGATGCAGGGGTGGACCAGTCCTTCATCGACACTCTCCCAGTCTTTCTCTACAGATCCATCATATGCCTCGAGGACCCATTCGATTGTGCTGTCTGCCTCTGTCAGTGTGAGGCTGATGACAAGCTCAGGTTGCTCCCAAAGTGCAGCCATGCCTTCCATGTACAGTGCATAGATACTTGGCTCATGTCCCACTGCACCTGTCCTCTTTGCACAAGAAGCCTTCTTCCCGACCTCTCTCCCACCGACAGTTTTGGTCCCGTAGTCCTTGTTCTTGAGCCTGGAAGTGAGAGCTCAAGAGAGACTGCTTCTGAGAGGGAGGACTCTATGCCCAATATTGACCTTGGTTCTAATGGGGACGAAGACACTGGGCCTTCCATCGTCCACACTTCCCAAAGGCCGGTGGAGATGGCAGAAAGGGAAGAAGTTGGTATGGCACTGCCAGTTTCAGAGGCTTCGGAGACAAAGGTAGTGCCCGTCAAACTTGGCAAGTTTAGGAGCGTGTATGTCGGTGAAGGAAGCAGCACTGCCAACGGTAACTTGGACCAGAGGAGGTGCTTCTCCATGGGTTCGTACGAGTATGTGATGGATGATAGGGCATTGCTTCAGGTTCCCATCAAACCACCAAAGATGAAGCCCGAGCACCGGTTTGCGGTGTCGAAGTTCGGTTGCCATTCGAGAAGGGGTGTGTTTAAAGGATCGGATGCACTGAGAGCTACAGAATTCAGAGGTGATGTTGGTAATGTCGGTATCAGCAGTCATCTGCACATGAAAGAGAGCTTCTCGGTTTCCAAGATATGGCTTCAGTCCAAGAAAGAGAAATCTATGGCCGGGGATTCTTCCCGGCGGGCCCTTTCTTTCAGGACTGGCGATGAATTGTATCTAATAAACGGTATCAGCCATGCTGCTACTCCATCTGAATTAGATCCCACAGCTGGGGAGAAGAGTACAAGTGAAGTAGATTTAGATGTGGAGGTAGGAAGATGCAACGACGGCGTCGGATCTTGGTCTGATGGGGCATTCTCATTTGCCAGGAGAACATTGCTCCGGTTAGCAGCAAGGCAGAATTTATGATTGTCTGTGCCGAGCATTCTTGCATTTACGAGATGGAGGAGGTGATCAAGAAAGACAGAATAAAGATCATTGCACACACCCTTCGAGATTCCCTTTCTTTTATTTTTGTCTTTTGCTTGCAAATTCTTCAAGCAACTGATGGAATGTCATATACATGTTTCTCATCAAAATCTGAAACTGATGTGTTGCAGGAAGTGGAATTTGTTCATCAGTTTGACTGTAAGCAAAGTTGTCATGAATTGTGTTATGTCACTGAATGTGATTAGATCCACTTATTCTGACCAAAATGAAGTAAATAGCTGCAAGACAAACAGCAGAAAATTAATATGATATATGCAGCAACATTATTAGACTAAAATAACCAGACTTCTTCATGAAAAGAAAGACTCATTCATGAAAAGAAAAAAGATGCAGCAAATTCCACTCTCAAATTCAAATGTGCTTCTCTTTCCTTGTCTAGTAAGTTGGTACTGTTTCAACTTAGAGCTAGCAGAAAGGAGCTCTCCATTCAACTTACAAGTTTCACCTCACTGTAAACATCAGTTATCACTGTACTCATGCAGATGAAGACAGTTCCCCATGTAATTCTTTTTAGCTAGAAAGGTTGCTACACTTCAATGTATTCTCCTATGTGGCAATTAGAAACTTATTTACATTTGTCCTTCATAAAAATGTTCAGATGACTATGGTCAGGTGAAGTAAAGAAGGATCAACCAAACTCTTTTAGTGTAAGGCTGATCCTTCTCACTAAATCATGTGTACCAGTGAGATCAAAACAACTTCATGTTCATATCTTGTCATATGGTTTAACCAGAATTGAAGGATCAAAAAACATGAATGCAGGTAAAACACTGTGAGTTTAATGTTTGCTGAAGTAGTTTAAGGTTTTGAACTCTTTTCAACTCAAATAAAGAATGCAGCAATGAGTAAACAGAGGTACTTCATGTCACTTCTGGATTGTTTCAACAGCATTGCAGATTCTTACTGAGGAATAAAGACAAAGTAGATATCAACTCACAGTCTCATTTTACCAATGCCATTGGAACTCAGAATTAAAAGAGGGAAGCTGCTCCTGAAGCTATTGTGATTGAATTAAGTGAGGATTATTCATAAACTGGACTGATAGAATTGATTGCTTGAGTTATCAGTGCTAACAAAAACCTACTTCAGGAAATTAATTCTCTTTTCTTTCTTTTCCTTTCCTTCATTCTTAAATACCAAAATCTTTCAAATTATCTATATTCATATTACTGATTCAACATTCATTTTATTCATTTATTTTATGTTTTTAAAATACTTTTATAAGATTTAATTATATCATGTTATTTTTTCTTTTATAAAAAAATTTATATCATTTTAGTTATAATTTACTTTATAAATAATGAATGATAAGCTTGAGGTCAGATTTTTTTCTTTTTGCTAGGTTGAATTTAATTGGTTGATTTGGGTTATTTGTTTTGCATGATAGGGAGGATTAGCATTTTTCTTAATTTTCTATTATTTCAATATATTTTATCGATTTATTATTCAAGTCCGGTCTGGCGCGGTCCGCTCCGGTTTATTTTTATAACGACAGACCGGACCATGTTCGTTCCGGTCCGAATATCCGAAACCCTAGATCATACACACGTGAGAAGCACGTGATACCAGCGTCTCCGTTCGCTTCCTTGTCATATAATTCTTTTGGCCGACTCAACGCCGCCGCCCCTTCCTTCCATTTCTCCTCTGCTGTCAGTCGCCTCGTCCCCCGGTCTCTGCGGATCTGTAACGAGAGCGTCGTGGTTTGAGCATCCTAAAAGGTCGGAGTTCAAGCCTTTCTCCGTTCGATTTGATTTCCGTGTTGTTTTCTGTCGTAGGTTCTTTCGAATTCCTTCGCCTTTGTCTCTGATCTGTTTTTCTCTAGATTCCGTGCCAAGGGTTTCTCAGAAATTCATCTCTCTTAGGTTATTTTGTTCTTTTTCGGCGTTATTTGGGGTTTCTTCCCCTTCCTTCTCGATCCTGTCTTTTTCTTGCCGATGATAGGGTTCATTTCGACGCAAAAATTACCGCTTACTAATTAATTTGGAGATTGGGCTTCTTATCGGCAGATCGCTTCCTGTGGAATTTTAGGGTTCTTTTCACGGTTCGAGGTAGAAGAAATCAGCAAGAGCGATGGCGTCTCGTTTCTGGACGCAGGTGCGATTGGGTTGCGAGATGCGAGTCCTAAGACATTCCTTTGGTTTGTTGTGCTTAAGAACCTTTTTTTTTTTTTGGTCTCAGGGCGGTGACAGTGACACCGAGGAGGAGGAGGAGAACAGTGAATATGAGGACGGGAGTGAGACTGAGCAGCCGGCCGGCGATGGTGCCGGGGCCAACGCCAGAAGCCGTTACCTCCGAGATAATGCTAGCGATAGTGATGACTCGGACGGGCAGCACCGTGTGGTCAAGTCGGCCCGCGACAAGCGGTTCGATGAGATGGCTGCAACTATCGATCAGATGAGGAATGCTATGAAGATCAATGACTGGGTTAGTCTGCAGGAGAGTTTTGAAAAGATCAATAAGCAGCTTGAGAAGGTCATCCGGGTTACAGAGTCTGAGAAGGTCCCGAACCTTTACATTAAAGCTTTGGTGATGCTTGAGGACTTCTTGGCTCAGGCCTTGGCTAATAAGGATGCTAAGGACGCTAAAAAGAAGATGAGCAGTACCAATGCTAAGGCTCTCAATTCAATGAAGCAGAAGCTGAAGAAGAATAACAAGCAGTACGAGGAGCTGATAGCAAAGTACCGGGAAAAGCCAGAGAGTGAGGATGAAGCAGCTGAAGATAAGGATGATGAGGAGGACGATGAGTCAGGCTCGGAGGTTGAGGAGGATCTGTCAAAGATCACAATGTCTGATGAAGAGGATGAGGAAGAGGAAGATGACGATGAGCAGGCTGAGGGTGGTGGGACCTGGGAGAAGCAGATGAGCAGGAAGGATAAGCTCATGGACAAGCAGTTCATGAAAGACCCTAGCAAGATCACGTGGGATATTGTCGACAAGAAGCTTAAAGAGATTGTGGCAGCCAGGGGTAAAAAAGGAACAGGGAGGGTAGAGCAGGTTGAGCAGCTTACTTTCTTGACTCGTGTTGCCAAAACACCTGCTCAGAAGCTTGAAATTCTTTTCAGTGTGATATCGGCACAATTTGATGTCAACCCAAGCTTGCTTGGCCATATGCCTGTAGGTGTTTGGAAGAAGTGTGTTGGTAATATGCTTCTTGTGCTTGACATCCTTGAGCAGTATCCTAATATTGTAGTCGATGACACAGTTGAGCCTGAAGAAAATGAGACACAGAAAGGTGTAGATCATAAGGGAACAATCCGGGTCTGGGGAAATTTGGTTGCATTCCTTGAACGCCTTGATTCAGAATTTTTTAAAAGTTTGCAGTGTATCGATCCACACACTCGTGAGTATGTCGAGAGGCTTAGGGATGAGCCTTTATTTTTTGTCATTGCTCAAAATGTTCAAGAATACCTTGAAAGGATTGGAGATTTTAAGGCAGCTTCTAGGGTAGCACTTCGCCGACTTGAGGTTATATATTATAAACCTCAGGAGGTCTATGATGCAATGAGGAAATTGGCAGAGCAGACTGGGACAGAAGCTGGTGGGGAGACGGGAGATCCAGATGAAAGTGATGAGAGTCAGATGGTGGAGGAAAATAGGGGCCCACCAGATTTTGTCCCAATCCCTGAACTTGTGCCTAGGAGGTCTACATTTCCAGAAAGTAGTAGAACATTGGTGGATGCATTGGTGTCTCTTATCTATAAGTATGGTGATGAGAGAACCAAGGCCAGGGCTATGCTGTGTGATATATATCACCATGCTATATCTGACGAGTTTCCTGTAGCTCGTGATCTTCTGTTAATGAGTCATTTGCAGGATGGGATTCAGCTCATGGATATATCTTCGCAAATCCTGTTCAACAGAGTAATGGCACAACTTGGGCTATGTGCCTTTAGGGCAGGGTTGATCCAGGAAGCTCATGGCTGCCTCTTTGAACTATATCAAGGTGGTAGAGTAAAAGAGTTACTGGCTCAGGGCATGTCACAAAATCGTTACCATGAAAAAACTCCTGAGCAGGTTTTTTTTCTCCGACTCTCATTGATTTCTCTGTATTTTACATAATATGAGCATCTCATCTTGGAATGTTGTATGTATCACAAAGTGAATTCTGAACTCAAACTATTTATTTTGGTGTATATGTGGATAAAATCTTCTAATGTGCTTGTAAATTTATGTTGTATGTACTGATCAACAAAGGCATGATCTAGCTTTTGATTCTGTCATCATAATGTATTATCATAATAGTTTAGAACATGTTAAGTACTATTAATAAACATGCCAGCTTATATGAACTAGCTAATTGTACATAAAATATAGACGTTAGATTATAGAATGATTGCTATGCCAGAACACCAATCTGATCTGTTGATACATGCATCTAGTTGAACATTAACCTACCTATTTCTGATTGTTGTAATGTTTTTAAAAACCGATGAACATCAAAAACTGATGTGTACTACTCTGTGCTAACTACATTTTACAGCACAGTCTGTAGTCGCTTTTTGAATTAATAGAAATTCTTTTCTTATTGGGAAAAAAAAGTTAAACATTAACCTACTTCTGATTGTTGTAATGTTCTAAAAAACCATTGAACATTAAAAACTGATGTTTACTACTATGTGCTAACTACATTTGCCTGTCTTCTAAGCAAGTGTCATTTCAAAGTAGGTGTGGATAGTAGAATTAATCTATAACATAATTATTTAGTGAATACCTTTAGCCATTGGATTCCAAGTGGTTTTTTTGAAAGTTACAAAGTATACAGTAAGTGTTCTCAGAAACACATCCAGAATATATCCTGAAAGACTTCTGTCACAATCTGACTCAATGGGAAATTGACCCATTACTTGAGTTTGGACCATTGATTCAAATGCTTAAGCTCATGTTAGTAAGCTTTGATTAATAGGAGGACAACCAACTAGTCTTAAAAATCAATTTGAATCTTCTCCTGCTTCCGATGTGACACTAAATAAGGGTCATGTAAGAGCTTAACTTATTCATCGAGAATCAGTATCTTGGCATGGTGTATGTGAGGCCTAACCTAGCAAGGTGTCTCCACATCATTTCATACATTGTGCTTCTCTCATAGGGTTGATGTTTTCTATTTATCTCTATTGTCTTGGACTGCTGCCACTTTTCACTATTGACTTACCAATTTTCATCATCATTCTTTGTCCCTCCAGTTAGATTTCATGTATTTTCTTTATTAGCTCATTCAAGGATATCCAGGGAATCAAAATGATATGCTTCCCCAGTGGAGTAGCTTATGGGTGCATGTACCTATGTGGTAACTGCAAGATATTATGGGAACCAGAAAACCGTATGTTTCCTGCTGTGACAGTTATCAGCTTAAAGAACTTTGGTCATCCTGTTTTGAAGTTGAAGCAGCTGGTGAAATGTCAGTCATAATTGGCATTCCAAGTCTCCAACAAGATATATTTAATCTGTTGCATGTACTTATATGATATCTTTTATAAATCACTCATTGCAAAGGTTTTCTTTTGCTTTTCTCTCTCTTTTAGGCCAGAGTTGGAACATCTGCTAAAACATAATTTCTTGCAATAAAGCTTGCACCTCAACTTGCTTTTCTTTCTAGGATATCTTGTTTTGAATGTGCAGCATTATTTGATCGTTCAATAGCTATCTTTCCCTTTACTAAATCTCCATTAGCATTGTGGCATTCCTTATTCTTGTTGGCCTAATGATGATTGTGATAGCATTATATGCCTGCTTCAGATTTCATAGCACAATGATTTTAGTTCTCCTTTTGATGATTATGATAGCGTTATCAGCCTTGGTTGAACTCAACTTTTCTTGTATGTCGACTCATTTAGTTTTATTTCATCAGGAAAAGGCTGAGAGGAGAAGGCAGATGCCTTATCACATGCACATTAACCTTGAGCTCCTTGAAGCGACTCACCTGATATGTGCAATGCTTCTTGAGGTCCCCAACATGGCTGCTACCACATATGATCCAAAGCGCAAGCCTATTAGCAAGACATTCAGGAGGCTTCTTGAAGTGAGTCAGAGGCAGACATTTGTTGGTCCTCCTGAGAACGTAAGGGACCACGCCATGGCTGCCACAAGAGCCTTGACCAAGGGAGACTACCAGAAAGCATTCAATGTCATCAACTCTCTTGATGTCTGGAAGCTCCTTAGAAACCGAGAAAGTGTGCTAGAGATGGTGAAGTCCAAGATCAAGGAAGAGGCTTTGCGGACTTACCTCTTTGCATTCTCGTCCTGCTATGATTCATTGAGTTTGGGCCAGCTTACTTCAATGTTTGACCTCTCTGAGGTCCATGTCCATAGCATCGCTAGTAAGATGATGATTATGGATGAGCTGCATGCTAGCTGGGACCAACCAACAAAGTGCATCGTCTTCCACAATGTGGAGCAAACCAGGCTGCAGGGTCTACTCTTCCAGATGGCAGATAAGCTTGTAATTCTGGCTGAAAACAATGAGAGGGCATTTGAGGCGAGGACCGGCGGGGGCCTTGAAGGTCTTCCACCAAGACGTCGAGAGGGTCAGGACTATACCGGCTCAGCATCTGGCAGATGGCAAGACGGCTCTGGTTCTGCCTCGCAAGGTAGGCAAGGTGGTGGCTATGGAGGACGCGTTGGATACGGCGGCAGGACAGGGGGTTCTGCACAGGCAACTGGCGGAGGTTATCAGAGAGATCGCAGCGGACAGGGCTCACGGGGTGCTGGTGGCTACTACGGGAGTGCTGGGAGGGCAGCTGCGAGAGGTTCGCAGTTGGAAGCTTCTGCAGGCATGGTCAATCTCAGCAGAGGTGGTAGAATTTAGTGCCTGAGACAATAAAGTAGATCGATCCAAAAGAAAGTAAAGCAAGCCCCCCGGTTTTTGGTCATCATTTTGCTCCTATTGCTTGGAAGATACTCTCATTGACTGTTATATTACCCTACCCATTAGGTTTCCATCGAACTAATATCTCTTTTTTGATTCGATGTACTGTGGATCGTGAGAACTTATTATGACTTGCGTTTTCTTGGTGAAATTTGTTGTTCATGTCTGTTCTCAATATTCATAATTTCCTTTACTTTTTCTGAAATAAATCCTTGATGCCAACATTGAATCAATCTAAGCCTGCTTTTACTTGTGCTGAGGTGGGTTAAGAAGATCTTCATTATGGATAATGTTAAGAAGATCTTAAATCCTTGATGTCAGCATTGACTGTTCTTCATCATGCATCTTTTGATTCCTTAATTTGGTCGTCACCGGAGTAATTATTCCCAGAAAAAAATATAGATAATTAATATTGGGTTCAGAAGAGATAAAAGTATTCATTTAATGGTGCAAAAAAGTGATTGATATAAAAAATCTCAGATGATTGGAACAACTTAGCGTGTGTTATTGGTGACCACAAAAACTATATATTACCGCTAGAAGAGATCTGATGTCATGATTATGGTCAGTATGAGTACCATAATCGAGTATTATGGTGGCAGGCAGCCATCGCAAGTCGAAAAAAAATGTAACACAGTTTGTTCTTTCTTGCAGACTTAAATCTTCTACGGTATCTTTTTCCTCCATAATATTCTTCTTAGCAGTCAATTCATCTTCAGGCAAAAGCAGCCTTCATTTTGAGATGTGGCACGGCGTGGACGCCGAGATGAGATCAGGAAGCACAATGGCATATTCCAACGCCACTATTGGCCTTTGCCATGATTTCTCACGACAAGGATATATCTATAGTTGACAGGTCTCCCACGACTCTCCCATCTCCAATATTCTCCGGTCTTCTCGCCAAAGATTCGTCCAAGGATCTAAGTGGATAAAAATAATAGAGTTGGATCTCCTCACGTTTATCCTGTCGCCCCATTGGACAAGACGGTAATGCCCAGTGGCCAGTGGTGAGGGATAAAGATTTGGACCTCACCATGGCAACAAACACTGCACTCGACAAGAACACATGATTCTTTTTCCTCGACCGCAACAGCACTACACTGCACTCATCTGTTCAACTTGTTATCCTCCTCTGTGCAATTGGGGAGGAAGACCAGATGCAGAATCTGTGCAAGGGAAGAGAACCATCAGATGTGCATGCCTCCTGCTGCCAAATTCATGTTGGGTTTAGGGGTTCATCGACATGGAGGAGGCTGCTGTTCGATGAAGTGGTCCTTGTCTCTGAAAAGTTCCTGGAAAATGATCCATGGGGATGAATTTGCATTCTAGGGTTCCAAATGCATGGGGTAAACCTAGAAAATGACATAATGTTAGAAGGAAAACATGAGCCGTGTCGGATTATGTATCTGTTATGGTCTACAAAGAAGAGAAAAGGAAGAAAGAAATACTTTTAGGGGATATTTACAATGGAAAGGATGAATTGATTTCTGCCTACCAACTCTGCTTAAGGTGTAAGTCGATTATTTAGACATCTGAACCATTATGATTATTTTGTTCCTCGTAAAAAAGTTCCTAAAGCTTTCCACAGCCGGTGGTGTCTCCACTTCATGCAATAAATCCTCCTCCTCGATTACCAAAACCCAGTTCAGCCAATTTCCGATACTTCATGCGAGAACTTACTTGCTCGGCTCCTGCAGAAGAGATGTATCATTCAGAGAGCCCCTTCAAATGACACTCCAAGGTCTGTATGTTTGTGTGGCTCTGCTGATGCATGGACAAGGCCTTGAAGCAGTTTTATGACATCGACTATATCATCAAGATAGTACTTAGCCTTGCTCGGCTTCTTGCCAACGGTGCAGGCAAAGACTTCAGCTAATGCTGGAACCAATGCCTCATTTGTGGAACTAATGATGCTCTCAAACATGTCTTCATCAGACTGGTCATCACCAATGCACAATATGAAATCCGGTGGCTTTCCGGTTCTCAACATGGTCGACAAAAGGTTTTCAACCACCACGCCTTTGCTTATCCCCTGCAAATGATCCCCCATATGATCTAGTTGTTAGTTGCTGTTGTCCAAATCAATTTAACAGAAGAAACAAGAAGTCATGTTTAAAAAAGCTGCATCTAACTAAAAAAAGGAAGAAACAACTGAACCAATTCAACACATGGCTCCACAGAGGTCCTGATTTGTTTAAAAAAAATATGGCAACAAAAGGTGTGGGCACAATAAGACTGTCATATGCATTCAGATATATGTTTTGCCACACATGGTGATGGACAGAAATTGTCTGAAGTCAATCCTAATCCATACCCCATTATTTGAAATTGTTACTTATTAGACCGTGAACATGTTATGGATGTGACATTGATGGTTATTCTTTTGGTTGGACTGGAAGCAAACAACTAAAGCAAGGTGGCAGAACCAAAAATCCATGTTACTCCTCCATACCTGGGGGTTCACCTCCACTATATGCTGGCCCCTTTTCACAACGACGGGCTCGTTGGCAAGCACGTTTTCTAGGTGATCAAGGAGTTCTTTTGCCTGGCAAGATCCAAAATCTGGATCAGCATCTTGATGATGCCAAACTAAGCCGCTTTCTTTGAATTCAATGCTGGATCCATCCGTTGCCTCAGTGTACAGCCTCATTACAGGTTCCGCAATCTTCTTCCAATTAAAATCTGTAGCTAGCATGAATGATTCCCATGGAGAATCCCGATTCCACCTAATAGCAACGAAACATAGCCCAACAATAATCTGTTAGCCATTAAACAGTGACAACTCCATACAAATTTTATAGCCTGGAGATACTTAGCAATAGCATTATAGTGCCACCAATCAGTTCAGTATCCTCCATATATGGTTAAACACACAAGACAGTTCATAATGTCATTGGTGCTTATGTGCATAGTTTAAAGGATTTTCAAGTATTTCTTATGTTCCACTTGAACTTCTAAATAGCAAACTATGACCATGTCATCTAATTTGATTACATGGAATGCCAAAACAATATTTGGTTCACGACAATCACAAGAATTTGCTACGATCATTCTATATGATTTACATCATCATGCAATCTTCCATGTACATATCAGAATGGAAATAAAGTGATAATTTAATGTGATTTTCAACAAGCACATTACTGGTCTAGTAGACTTATAACTCCCTATAGAGGAATATATGAGTTCCTGTAAGTCAAATCAGTTTGCATCTGAACTGTCTACCTGTGTGCAAGACACTGTATTTTCTTTTTTAATATCTGATTTTACTCGGTTTCAAAATTGAAGTGATAACCAACAAAAAGATCAGTATAGAACAAGGTACTAAGGGTACTAAAAATTATAATAAGAATTGAATATGAGTGATTACCTTGTAAAATAGCCATGTTCAGCAGAGATTCCTAACTTCTCACAAGGGGCAAACCACTTGCTCAGCTCATCCTTCCCTCTACCACTGACCACAAAGACTATGTTCTTCGGGTCGCTGCATAATTCATTCAAAACTGAAATCACCTCGTCACTTGGGCCTTTGTCGACGGAAGTCTGAGGCATCATCGTCCCATCATAATCAAGCAAAATGAGTCTACTATTTGTATTCCTGTATGCTGAGACTATGTGCTCGACTGATAGCTTTCTGAAATTGGGACCCAGTGCAACTACTCGGAAGCTCATCCCAAACCCAATGCCCCAACATCTCCTGAGGAAATGGTCCTTGCAAGCCCGCTGCAAATCCTGATCAAAAGACCTTGCCCAGTAAGAAACATCATGAGAGCTAACATACTTGTAGTGTTTCTCGTGCCGCAACTGCTTCTCAACCTCTGGCATTGTGATGGCCAAATACATTGCATCTGCCACAGCATCCACGTTCCATGGATTTACCCGAATAGCTCCGCTTAGGGACGGTGAGCACCCGATGAACTCTGAAACCACAATCACACTCTTCTTTGGAACACCTCCAGGAGCAGGGCTGCATTGACGACACACTGTGTATTTGTAGGGTACCAAATTCATACCATCCCTCACCGGGTTCACCACACAGCACTCTGCCATGGCATAGAAGGCTGCCTTCTCATGTGTCTGCACAGTGCGATCGATCAGCACAATGGGCTCATATCCAGGCTTTCCAAACCTTTCGTTGATCCTCCTTGTGATGGAACGGGCCTCTTCCTGGACCTCCTGAACATCTCTCCCTTGGCTCCTGGGAGGGTTGGCGATCTGGACCAGCACAGCCCGTCCCCTTAATTCCCGATGCTCCTCCAACAGCTGCTCCATCGCCAAGAACTTCAAGCCTATACCTTTGAAGAGATCGACGTCATCAACCCCAAGTATCAAGATCTGATCTGAATACTTCTCCTTGAGTTCCTGAATCTTTGCGGTCGTCTCCGATGAAGATATCACCGATTCAAGCTGGCCCAAGTCAATCCCGACAGGAAGGATCTTGACGGTGACAGTCCGGCCATAGTACTCGATGCCGATATACCCTCTCTTGGACTGGTAGTCGAGGCCAAGCAGTCGGGAGCAAGAGGAGAGGAAGTGGCGGGCGTAATCGAAGGTGTGGAAACCGACAAGATCACTGTTGAGGAGGGCCCGCAGGAGCTCGTCGCGGACCGGGATGGTACGAAAGATCTCAGAGGAAGGGAAGGGAGAGTGGAGGAAAAATCCAAGCTTTACTCTAGGAGAGCGCCTGCGTAGGAAGGTGGGGAGGGCGAGGAGGTGGTAGTCGTGGATCCACACGAAATCATCGTCCGGGTTGAGGAGCTCGATGAGGCGCTCGGCGAAGAGCTTGTTGGCAGAGAGGTAGGAAAGCCAGAGGGTGCGGTCGAAGGCGAGGCCACCGGTGGAGGAGGGCGACAGGGGGAGAAGGTAGTGGAGGAGAGGCCAGAGGTAGTGCTTGCAGAAGCAATGGTAGAAGCGGTGGTGGAGGTCGGCAGGGAGGAAGACAGGGAGGCAGCGGAATCTGGCGTAAAGGAGTTGGGAGACGGCGGCGCGGTGGGCGGGGCCGACGGCGGCAGGGAGGGTGCCGACGTGGAGGACTTCGGCGTCGGGCGGGAGGCCAGATCGGAGCTGGAGCCCGAGAGCGTCGGGGTCCCAGGCGAATGCCAGCCCGGAGGACTCCGCGGGATCAGCGGCGACGCGGAGGGGGAGGCGGTGGGCGACGACGATCCGCCGGTC